GCTCCGTGGCTGCCAGCCGCCATCTTGGTTGGGTTAATTTGCATATCTTGCTGATTAGCCAATGGGAGACATAGCGAAGGCATGGTCAATTACCATGTTTGTCTATTATTAGGTAAGATAAGCCTAATATGCTAAGTGTCCAGTCATCCAGTTGGCTGTTCAACCAATCAAAGCGTAATATGTTAATGATATGCTAAGGCCGCTCAACTGCTTGCTATGACATGCACTGACCACCAGGGGGAAGATGCTCCAACCAGTAGGTTAGCTTGCTGCTGGGGTCCAGCTGATCGGGACTGAGCAAGACGGGCTGGACACACCTTGGAGCCCTCTGTGGCCCCTCCCCAGCTGGCCGACCTCCCACATCCTTTCCCGGCCCCGACCGTGCACCAGTTGGGTCCCTCAGCCTGGCCTGCGCCCTCTCACAATTGGGGACCCCTTGGGGGATGTCTGAGAGCCGGTTTCAGCCTGACGGCAGAACAATCAATCACTATGACACACACTGACCACCAGGGGTTAGACACTCAATGCAGGAGCTGCCAGAAGCCGGGCTTACGGCTGGCAAGTGGAGCAGTGGTCGCAGGAGCCTCTCCCGCCTCTGCAACAGCACTAAGGATGTCCAACTGATGACTTCGGAGAATGGGCCTAAGCTGTCTGTTGGACATCCCCCAAGGGCTCCTGGAATGAGAGAGGGCGCAGGCCGGGCTGAGGGACCCCCCTCTCCTGAGTGCACGAATTCCGTGCACTGGGCCTCTAGTATACATATAATATGGAAAAAGAGGGGCAATAATATATCATGATCAAGGAGGGTTTATATCTGGAAAAGGCATTTTAAAAAATTCAATTCCCATTTATGTTAAAAGCCTTAGCTAATGAGGAGTAGAAGGGAACTTTTTCAACCTGATAAAGGTATGAAACTACAATAAACGTTATACTTAGTGGTGTAAGACAGTGCTTTACCTCTGAAATTAGGAATAATGCAAGGATGTACAATACAAGGTCAACATACCAAAATTGTATTTCTGCATACTATCAATGATTAATTGCTACATAATTTTAAAGTGTTATTTACAAGTCCATTAAAAATTATGAAGTATGTATGGCTAAATGCATCAAAATATGTGCATGACCATTCCACTGAAAACCATAGAACGTTGCTGAGAGAAAGTAAAGAAGGCCTACATAAATGGAGAGATATCATGATGTGTATAGTTTGGATGGGTCAATTATTAAGAAGAGAACTCTTCTTAGTAAGTACCTGATTTCAAGAATTCCTGTAAAGCTATAGTAATCAAGACAGTGTAGGAATGGCACCCTATGGTTTAATTGAGGAGCTGATGATTTTGGAAGGAGGACTGACTAAAAGGGGCACTAGGGACCTTGTGGGGATGGTGAAATTTTCCTCTCTCTTGATTATTGTGTTCATATGGGTGTATATGCGAGAAGTTATAAAACTGTAAAATGTGGGTAGATTTTATTTTATCTAAAGTATACCCTAATGTTGAATTTTTTAAAAAATCCATATTTACAGGGTAGTTTACCTCATAGATTCCTCCAGTTTTGAGATGGGAATATATAATTTTTAAAAAGCCTCTTCCATTTATCTCTTTGGAACATGACTAGTAGGCATTCAGTAGTTTTCAGTATATTGTTCAATAAAATACAAGGTTGATGTAAGCTAAGTATTTTGAATACTTATTTTCATAATACAAATTTTGAAAAGTGTGATGTATCCTTTTATACAAAGAACTAGAGGCCCGGTGCACAAATTCATGCACAGGTGGGGTCTGGCTGGCCTGCCTGGATCGGGCCTATCGGGCCAGGCCGGCCTCGGGGAGGGGCCACAGATGGTTGGTGGGCCGGGCTCACTCCTGATTGGGGTTAGGGGGGCGTATTGGGAGTGGGGCCAGTTGGCCCCTTCCCCTGGTCGAACTCCCGGGGGCGAGGACAATTTGTATATTAGCCTTTTATTATATAGGGTAAATCTTCAAAGATATGTATTCAGTATAATAGAATTTCCTCATTTCCTGTTGACTTTTATTGAATTATGGCTATATGGTTGCTAATATATATTTCCCACTTTCAGATTATTATACTTATCAAATATTTAGATACAGCCATTTTTGGGTCATAAAGTAACCCAAAATTGATTTTTTTATTTCATAAAGTAACTTTTTTGATTTCAGAAAGTAACTTGCCAAGACTGGATATCTGGGCATAGCCTATGCTCATAATATAGCTATGGCACTTTCATAATGATATAGAACAATTAACCTACAGTGGTGATTTATAATTGCACATTTTTTAAAATAAAAATGTGTTACCACGGGTCTTTATTTGATAGTGCAGCACAAGCCCAAATAGTTGTAGTATTAATCTTTATTCTCACACATAGTTTTACAGAGATTATGTATACCTCTGTAAAACAAACGACCTTCTTAATGTTCTTTCATTTGTTTTAGAATAGTCTGGGTAAACTGATATAAACCTCTTGCCTTTAAAATGTTTTCCCAGTATTTAACAGGATTTTCTGGCTAAGACAGCACAAGGCGGTGGTGTTTTAGTCTCGCCATTTAGACCTACAGGGAGCACGCAGAAGGCACCCTGCTCTTACTCCTACCCAGGGTGTGATGTTCGGTGTTCTTCAGTAGTGACAGAATTATAAGCCACGTAAATGTGCACATACATTGAAAATTTATAATGTAAATTTGCTTGCTTATTTCTAGGAATGATAAGACAAACGCTTTGAGATTTAGCCCTAGTTGGGTGGCGCAGTATACACCAAAAGGTAGCAGGTTCGACGTCCAGTAAGGCAGTGCTTCTCAACCTTCCTAATGCCGCGACCCTTTAATACAGTTCCTCATGTTGTGGTCACCCCCAACCATAAAATTATTTTCGTTGCTACTTCATAACTGTAATTTTGCTACTGTTATGAATTGTAATGTAAATATCTGATATGCAGGATGTATTTTCATTGTTACAAATTGAACATAATTAAAGCATAGTGATAAGCACAAAAACAGTATGTAATTATATATGTGTTTTTCCGATGGTCTTAGGCGACCCCTGTGAAAGGGTGGTTCGACCCCCAAAGGGGTCGTGACTCACAGGTTGAGAACCGCTGCTGTAAGGGCACACACATACTAGGTTGTGACTTTGACCTTGGTCGGAGGCAACTGATGGCTGTTTCTTTCTTCCTCTCGAAGGAAAAAAAAAAACTTGATTATAAAACCACACATATATCCTTGGGTGAAGATTTTTACAAGGTTACATTTAAATTTTAGTTTGAATTTTTCACCTGTTAGCCATTTATAAAAATCATCTCTGAACCTCCATCTCTGCATGTGCTGAAATTAAGATTTAACTGAGTATATTTCTATATGTCAACTAAAATAGGGCAGTGTAAATGAAAACAGTGTGAAAACTAGGAATGAATGGACAGAGTCTTTAGAGCAAGAAAATTACATGGTACACTATTTTAGGTTGATAATGTAGGATCTGAGACCAGGCAAAAGAGGAGTGAGACGAGAGAAGTAGAAGGGGACAAGATCGTAGATGAGGTTGGTGACATTAAGAGTGGAGATGAAAAATATAATTAGTCATTTTGGAGGGAAAACTTACTTCATGGTGATTGATGAGAAAGAAGAGGGAAAAGAAGGAATCTCTTGCCTACCAGATTATCAACATCTGACTGCCAATTATTTTTCACAGTCTGGCTAACCATTTGCTATACACAGACACAGAATTGTAAGGACTTCTAAGAATTGATAGTCTTTTGGCTCTGTGTAGGATGCTGCCTGCATTCATGAACATAGAGAATTTGGGAGAAAATGCTAGTTTGGTTAATAAGTCAACTTATTCACCTGTAAGCAAGTAGAGTTCCATGCCACAGATACGGGTATAAAATAGTATTACCATAATTTTTATGTGGTACTCAATGAAATTTATTTATTTAGGAGCACAGACATCTGATTGTAAAGTTCTATTAATATTTGGGAAAATGATAATTTTAGGCCTTTTGAAAGATAATGTTTTCTTCCTAATAGTGCTAAGTATGGTATTTAGTATTTAAGAAAAAACACACATAACTGTAGTGAAACCTTTGGCTTTCAGATAATTTGCATTCAGTTTTATACAGTGCTATATCTGGGGGAGAGGGACATTTCTGGATCATACATATATAAATTTGAGTATTTGTTACAGAAATGTCAGTCTAGTTATTGTCAATGTTAAAATAGTAGGATTAAGATGAAATTTGTCTGTGAACTGGGATAATTATTTTACAGCAGTGGTTTTCAAACTTTAAGGTTGCATCAGAATCATCTGGAGAACTTGTTAAAGCACAGGTTGCTGGGTCCTGCCTATAGTAGATCTAGGGTAGAGCTGGAAATTTGCATTTTTAGCAAGGTGATCATGCTTAGGTTAAGAACTACTATTATATAATAAGGACTAAGATTATCCTCAGAAACCACAATTTAGCCTCAAAAAATAACTTTAAAAAATAAATAATCTCTAAGAAATAGACTTAATTTTCATAAACATATAGCTCAAATCCAAAGCCCCTTAGGGTATGATAAATACAAGATTTTTGTTATAGTGTTCCCTAAAAGCTATTGTTCGTACTTATTTAGCAACAGAATAAATTAGAAAAATATATTTTAAAATACTCTAAGGACATTATAAATGTTCTCTATTCACAACAAATAGTTGACTATTTTGAGGTATTTGGTGCTTCTAAATATGTAATTAACTTACCCAGTAATTTCCTTGAAATTAAACATGCTTACATTTTTAAAGATTTTAATACCTGTGTGAAAAAACCAAAAACCTCTTCACTCAAAGATGAATGGTCCTTTTCTCCTCTTACCCCATGTATCCCATTATCCCCAAAATTTCAAAACCTGAAACTCTTGGAGGATCAGTATTGTCACAATACATATGATTAATATAGTATGTCAACCCAAATTAGTTTCAGTAATTTTTTTAAAATCTTATTTTTTTAGCTAATGGGAATGACAACAAGAAATTTAAAGGAGATAGACCTCCCTGTTCGCCTTCCCGTGTTCTCCATCTTCGCAAAATTCCAAGTGATGTCACCGAAGCAGAGGTCATATCATTAGGTCTACCATTTGGCAAAGTAACTAATCTTTTGATGTTGAAAGGAAAAAGCCAGGTATGTAATATTTAAAGATTGACCCATCATTATATCTCTGGGTATTAGTGTTAAAGATGATTTTTATTTTTTTGAACTTTTCTAAATTGCATTTTCTAAATTTCATTCTATTTACATAAAGTAGTTTTTAAATTATAATTTTTTGTGTATGACAAGAAACAACAAATAAAAATATTAACATTGGTCTTTTTCCCTTAATAAAAAAAATTGTATTTTTAATTACAAAATGGCTTATGAAAATATCTTGTGATTACCAAAAGACCCCAACAGAAAAAGAGAGAAAATATAAATTATACCTCATTTGGCAAATTATAGGACATAGAAGTTTTCCAAAATCTATATAGAAATATTTATACTATTTTAGTTATAGAATTAATAAGTAGCTTCTTTGATAATTTCAGAAGTTAATAGGTTTTTCTTAAGATGAATATGCTTCTGTGGTGATCATTTCAAAAATATAGTACATGTCATATTGATATAATCGCATGCTTTCTTGTTCCATTTCAGACCTCACTGGGATGAATATTTTAGTTCTCTCCTAGTTCTCTTTTACATTGAGAATTGTTGCAAAGAAGCGGACAACAAATTGAGCTAGGCCCTAGACATTGTGTAGTACATTGGGATATGTCCCTATGTTTCTTACACTTCTCATGAATAAGTTTAAGAAACACATTTTAAATGTATTTATAAATAAGTTGCTTGATTAGCAATAGACTTGCTAGAGGCTGGATGATGATGTCTAAATTATGCCCAGACCTTTAGTAAACTATAGACTAACATCCCTGTTTAATTCGGACGAGATTATTAAGATCTGTAGAAGTTAAATAAGGTGTTAGTCCTTGTTTTGTCTGCATACTTAATCTTCCATCTCTTGGAGATAGTATATGTACCTAGATCTTTATTTTAACACAGTTGCCTTTGTTGAGAATACTAGGTTTGCATGGTTTGAAAAGAGCCAACATGGCCATGTCTAATGGTTGTGGTATGTGTAACAGCCATGTATCATGTATATTATCATATTTCAATAGTATATCTGCAGTGATGGCAAACCTATGGCAGGCATGTCAGAGGTGACACGCGAACTCATTTTTTTGGTTGATTTTTCTTTGTTAAATGGCATTTAAATATATAAAATAAATATCAAAAATATGTCTTTGTTTTACTATGGTTGCAAATATCAAAAAATTTCTATATGTGACACGGCACCAGAGTTAAGTTAGGGTTTTTCAAAATGCTGACACGCCAAGCTCAAAAGGTTTGCCATCACTGCTATACATTATGTCAAATGGCTGTGAGAGGCAGCAGGCTACATCATACTTTCCTCTGTTGCTACTGTTGGTTCTGGGGTTATATTTATCGGTAGTGCTAATTGACTTATGTTGATTGCTTGTCTTTTGTTTATAAACACTATTTGAAAAATATCTTGTCAGTGATACACTTTAGCAGGAGATTCAGATGTGAGTCACTAGAACTACTTTTAGGCGTAATCTTTCCCATGGTACTTGGAAGTAGAGTGTTGAGGGCATAATGGGGATTATTTTCACCAGTCTTTCTGTGGGTAGTAATTTGATTTTCTTTCCACCCACATTATGAAAATTGATCCTTTTGACTGGATACTTTAGAAAAACAGAAATAAAACCTTTACTGGACAATTCATTAAATATGAATTCTTAGGTTTTATATGATTTCAGGAAAAAACTTCTTATGACAAGAATCATGTACTATTCCAAATACATTGTTTAGTTTTTCCTTTGTGTGACTGATGTTAAACATTGAGTTAATTCTTAATATGTAGTAAAGAGTTCATAGGAAAAGACCCTCTCCTCATATAGTGAATATAATTAAAATACTACAGTTGTTCAATTTTTTTTTGTTGAAAAGATGATTACAAACAAGGTAGGAAATACTGCCATAACTATTTTTACCTTGATCATTTTTATCCTTTTTTACAAATACTAGAAAAAGTATATTACTGATACAACTGGATAGTGGATTTAAAGTGTATTGTGGGTTTTTATACCTTTTAGATAGTATAAATGACTCAAAGTCTAAATGACTCAAAGTCTGCTTTATTTCTTGAAGATGAAGGAATTTTATTTGTTTATTGTGGATCAGTTAATTAATGGTATTTGATCCACTGTTGTTGGCTAGCATCACTATTTAGTAGAATGTTTTTAGTTCATTTAATCAATTCAGTTGTGACATTTGATTAATTCAGTTAAGCATCATATTTAACATTTATTAAGTTAATAGCCTAGAATATTTGCCAAATGGAAACACTTGCCAACTAAGTAACAAAGAAAGTTAAATTTATAGATACGTGCCATTTCCTGTGTTGAATAAATTTTGTTGTTAAGTACATACTTTACAAATAAATTATAAATGTTTTATGTATAATTTGAATTGCTAACTAAATGCTTTATTGTAGTAAAAATGAATTGAGTTGTCTAGAAATTTGCATTGATTTAAAATGCATTTTAAATTCAAGATGAATGAACCATTAAGATAGGTGGCAAAACCTGCCGCCTTAAAGCTTTGTAAGTATCTTATTCCTGTCAGATAAGTTATAGGAGTCCTGATAGCCAGAAGAAGCCATATATAGAATAAGATATAAATACCAAGGTTTGTCTTCCATCTTAACTCATCCTATGTTACTCTGCAAATATTTATTAGTAGTACAATGATTACAGATAAAAAAAATTTTGCTTGAATGATTTGACTTATTATGGGAAGTTCTTCTGTTTCCCTGATTTGAACAGTTGAGCCTCTGCTCCTGAATGCTCTATTTAATTGTATTCATAAACTGTTTAATAAAAGGATAAAGAAGAACAGATGGCCATGCCCCATCTCTGAGACTGTTTTAACAAAGAATGTTTTAACAAAGAACTGTTAAATCTCAACTCCTGAAAGCATCCATTCATAGTGGTGATGCACACATTTTTAATATATATATTTTGATTTCAGAGAGGGAGAGAAAGGTAGAAACATCAGTGATGAGAATGAATCATTGATCAGCTGCCTCCTGCACGCCCCCTACTGGGGAGTGAGACAATCTGGGCATGTGCCCTGACCAGGAATCAAACCATGACCTCCTGGTACAGAGGCCAATGCTCAACCACTGAGCCACACTCGCCAGGCCACACATTTACTTTTGCCTTTTTAATTCTAGATTTAGGAAAAACAAAAATAAGAGAAAAATCAAAAACTACATAAATCATCGAATCAACTGGCAATTTTCAATACCAAATTCTTTACTGAACTCAGCTTTTCAAGTATGTTCCCAATTAATATCAGCAATACACATTGAAGCAAAAGTCTTTTCATTCTCTTCATCACATTGAAGCAAAAAAATCTTTCCATCCCCTTCTTTCATGAGAACAAATATACAAGTACTATATATATGCACAGATATATGTGTGTGTGTGTGTGTGTGTGTGTATGATTTATTTATTTACTTTTATTTTTTTGGCCTGGTCCTTGCCTTGTGGTGAGTGGCTTGAGTTGGTACAAGGTGGGGCTGCATGTGTGTAAGGGGCAGAGATGGATTGGTAACCACAGGATACCTAGTCTGTGTGTAGAACAAAAATCAATTTAGTTATCCAGAGATAGCTAACGAACATTTTGCTAATATTTTGGTGTGTGCCCCTTCTTTATTCAGATATATTATTGTCTATGTATATAATTTTTTAAAAAAATATTTTAAAAATATTTTTAAAATGATTTTTTTACAGAGAGGAAGGGAGAGGGATAGAGAGTTAGAAACATCGATGAGAGAGAAACATCGATCAGCTGTCTCCCACACACCCCCTATTGGGGATGTGCCCACAACTGAGGTACATGCTCTTGATCAGAATCGAACCTGGGACCTTTCAGTCCGCAGGCCGATGCTCTATCCACTGAGCCAAACTGGTTAGGGGATATGTATATAATTTTATTTAGGTTGACAATGCATGAGTTTAGAGCAACCTAGAGTGACAAAATAGTTCTTAGCTGTCTTTCAAAAACCATGAGTTTTCACTTTACCTTCTTGTGTTTATTGCAGGCTTTCTTAGAAATGGCTTCTGAGGAAGCTGCTATTACTATGGTGAATTATTACACTCCTGTTACTCCTCACCTTCGAAGCCAGCCTATTTTTATTCAGTATTCCAATCACAGAGAACTTAAGACTGACAATCTACCTAATCAAGCTGTAAGTATTAAAGGCATTTTTAAAAATAGCTATAAGCACCTATGGTATAATAGCTTAATATTAATTTTCTGTTTCAGAGGAAAAACAAAAAGGTGTTTGGTTTTTTTAATCCGTCTTAGCATGACTTATTAGTAAAGATTGTGTATGTAAATTTTTTTCCTGAAAGCTTAAACATAAGAAAGTGAAGCCATGTTTGAAGTTTAAAGTTATGGTGTTAAAAATGGCAGATATTTAGTTTTCTCATGAAACTGTTTACATGAGAAAAAAAATTTACATTGTTATGTATCTCTTAAAATCTCAGATCTAAAGGAATTTTAGAAGTCAATCCTTTCTTTTACAGAATATATAACAAAGGCATTGAGAAGTTGAGTGATGTTTCTATTGTGATGTTACGTAACTGAATTTAAGATGTTAATAAGAATTTGTATAGATATATTTAGTAAATGATTTATAACTTCAAGATGAATGTGCAATGTAGAATATCAACATTTCTTAGCTATTTTCCAGTTTTTATTTTGGTGTAGTTCATGTTGAATCTTTTGTGTCTTTTCAGGTTGATTTAAGTAATTAAAATAGTAATTTGAAGATTGTTTGTTATGTCAAGTGCATAATGTTTGGCCCCTATGTTCTTGCTCTAGGCAAAAGAACTCCTCCAGCTCTTGATTCTGTGTTGAAAGTTATTTATAATGTAAGCTGTTGAATTTAAATTATAGTTTTCCATATTATTAAAAATGGACATTTCCTGTATACAATCTTTAATTTGTTCTAAGAGATACTAATCTATATATATAAAAGCCTAAGCGACCTTTATGACCGAACGACCGGTCGCTATGACGTGCACTGACCACCAGGGGGCAGACACTCAACGCAGGAGCTGCCTCCTGGTGGTCAGTGTGCTCCCACAGCCATCCTCCCCCATCTGGCCAACCTCCTGTGGCCCCTTTCCCCGGCCGGGCCCCGGGCTTAGATGGGGAGCCAGGGGTGCGTGGCAGTGGACACGACCTCTTTTCCAGGGGTCCAAGGGCCTGCTCCCTCCTTGCGGCTGGCAGCCAACCTCCCGTGCCCTGTCCCTCCCCCAGGCCAGCAGGCCCCTATCGGCCCGCTGCCCACCCTCTGCAGTGGTGGCACAGTGGCAAGGGAAGGAAGAGGGGGCAGGTGGGCAACCATGGCGGGGCTCCGGTAATGGCAGTGTCGATATTTCGCATCTGTTCCTTCTATACCCAGCCCAGTGACTGTTGCCTCCTCTCCCGACCCTGCCGGGGCCTTTGGGCCCCAATTAGCCTGTCCCTGATCACCGGCCAGGCCTTGGGACCCCACCCATGCATGCTTTGTGTGCACCGGGCCTCTAGTGTCATATAAAAACTATATAAGCATAAGAGTAAATTAAATATTAGATATTTTTAAATAGTGTAGACTTTTTTAAATGAAAAATTGCCTTATAAATTATAAATAAGATACATGGTCATAGTAAAACATTAAAACAACATAGAAAAGTTTTTTTTAAAAAAGCAATTTAGTTACTTAGAGATAACTAGAATTTTGCTAACATTTTTGTGTGTGCCCCATGTTTATTCAGGTATGTTATTGTCTCTGTGTGTGATTTTACAAAAATGGGACTCTAATGTTTTGAAAGCTATTATTTTCTACTATAATATGTCAGACATTGTTTCATGAGAACAATTATAGAATTTCTTTATAATTTTTAAATGACTGCATAGTATTCCCTTCTATAGGACAAATATAATTTATCCTGCTTCTTTTTTACCCCCAATGTTTTTATTGATTTTTAGAGAGAGAGGAAGGGAAGGGAAAGGGAGAGAGAGAAACATTGATTGATCGGCTGCCTTCTTTATGCCCCCTACTGGGGATCGAGCCCTCAACCCAGGGAGTGTCCTGACCAGGTATTGCTTCCTGGGTCTACGCTCAACCATTGAGCCATACTGACTGGGCTATCCAGTTTCTTTATTACAGACATTGAGATTTTTTCCAATTTTATGCTTTTACAAATAATACTCTAGTAACATTCTTACAATATATATCTTAGCACACGTGCAGCATTATCTTATTTGCATTTCTGGCAATGAAATTGCTGGGACTGAGCATATGCATATTTTATATTTTGATATCTGTTGTATTATTGCTTTCTGTAAAGATTATGTCCCCACTTTGGATGTCACTGATAATGTATGAGCAATTTTCCTGTCTTTGTTAACATGATAGATGAGAAATTATATCTTATTGTTTGCTGATTTTTATTTGATTACTCATAAAGTATTTATAGCATTTTCTGTTAATGTGGGTTTCCAAAACCCCCATTTAAAAAATTGCAGTAAAATGTATATAATATAAAATTTACAATTTTAACCATTTTTAAGTATGCAGTTCAGTGGTTATTAAGTACATTCACATCCTGCAACCCATCACCAACATCCATCTCCAGAACATATTCATCTTCCCAAACTGAAACTCTGCACATTAAACACTAACTTCCATTTTCCTCTCCCCTTAAACCCTGGCAACCGCCATTTTACTCTCTGTCTCTTGTAAGTTTTGTCTACTTTAGTAATACAGTTTTTAAAATATTTTAGTACAACAATCATATCTCTTAAGATTGTATTAAAGTATCTAATTTTGATACCATACTCACACAGACCTAGCTAAGCAAAATTTAAAAAAAAATTTTTGCCTGTATTCTCCTACTTTTACATTTTAGTTGTTTGTATTTTAATATGTAAATCTTTATTTTATTAAATATTTTTGGAGTAGAGAGTAAGGGTTAGGTTTTGGTCTTTATTTTACTCCCAGTGACCAGTTTCACCTTTGTTATTTAACTTAATATGTTTTATTTCTCCAGGTATATTAGAATTACTTTGATAACTTCTATCCCCAAAAACACAATTGGAATTGAATTTATTTTATAGATTAATTTAAAGATAATTAACGTATTTTTATTGCTCACTGATCTTTTAAAGAGGAAATTATATTTTGTTTCCTGTCTTTTAATTCTCCTTTATGTAAGTTTTCTCATTAGTGTGATTCCTAAATATATTAGTATGTCTTGAAGAAGAAATAAACAATTTAATAAAACTCTTAAAGATAGGATTATTCTAAAGGGAAACAGTGAGAAATCCCAGTTGCTTGGCAACCAAAGCCAGCCCAAATGACCTAGTTTATTCTTCGATAGCCTTGATTTCTTCCCAATATCCTTTCTATTTTGTTACTTTTGTGCAGTTTTTATGCATTGATGTTTCATAAACTATAATAATTTGTCTTTTATTCAAAGTTTTACGCCAAAGCTGAATTTAAAATTGAAGGTAACTGTTTTCATATGCAAAATGTATTAGATAACTTTTATTTTGACAGTTCTGGGAAGCTGATAAATTAACTGTTTCATTCTCTTTTGTTCTCTGAATCAAGATATCCCAAAACATGCACATAAATTCTTTTCCAGCTTATGGACATACTTGCCAAAGGGTCAGGTGAATATCAAGTATTTTTGTCCCTTGAGTTAAATTAAAATTATAGCTAAAAATTTTATATTTTAAGGTACATCATCTGAGAAATGGTTGTGTAATAGCAGTCAATTATTGTATTGACAGTTTTTCTTGAACTTGTGCGTGGAAGTTTATAAATCCACAAAGAGATGACGATGGGAAGATTTTTCTCTAAAAAGTCATCAAACTGAACACTTAAAATCTCTGCATTTTTTTTTAATCTCTGCATTTTTATGTATACTCATTTCCCTCTCAATTTTAGAAATGCCTTCACAGAATCTAGGCATGTTTTAATTTTACATGAAGTACATTTCTCTCCCATGCCTCAATAAAAATTTGTTCGTTTCATACTGCTGCTATTTCCTTTATTTATAGTTAGTGTAACCATTCTAGAGGGTTTGTTGTGGAACATTTAAATAGGATCTCTTATAATAGGAATTCTGTGTCATAATTTTTATCATCAGATTCACAGAATCTCTTCATATTAAGAAGACATTTCTCATTTCCCCCCAACTTTTCAGTAGTTCTCAGTAAAGAGTATGCCTCAATTTCATTTTTTTAACTAAAATGTGTGGTATTATTTTTTTCAGGCGTTATTTTCTCAGATATTTGTTGTCAAAAGCATTTCTTGCATCTACTACTCTGAGACCTTTGCACTCAGTGCTCAATAATACAGGGTATATTGAAAACTCCAGAATGATTAGGACAATTTATACCATGGCTTTTTATATTTCTCCACTATGATATCCTGTATGCCAAAGAGGAAGGAGTGAAGAGTAATACTAGCAACCAGAAGCATATATGTAGAATTGCTTAATATAAAGGATAAATAGAATTTTTGGAGAGATAATGAAGTAAAGTCAGTGAGGTTAAGTTTACTTTTGTTTGTGCAGGCTTAATTTTGATAGATTTAATCATCTTAATCTAAGAAGAAAAGGAACCATACTTAGAACTTCACTGTGATGATATCTTCCTAGACAAATAAATTTCAAAATAAAAAATTCAGTTCTTCAAGTTGCACTAGGCACATTTCAAGTGCTCACTAACCATATGTGGCTAGTGGCTATCACATTGGACAGTGTAGATAGTGAACATTTTCATCATCACAGGAAATTCTGTTGGACAGCACTGTATTTTATCTTCCATGCCTCTACTTTTGTATGTGTGTGCGTGTGATACAATTGTAGTAACTGCTTTAATCCCTTGTCTGCTAATTCTAGCCCTATGTCAATTCTGGGTCTTTTTTGATTGATTGACACCACCACCACCCTCTTTCATTTAATTATGGGCTCAAAATGGTGGAAGTCTGAATCAGTTTTCAAAGTTGAAAGAAGTAGAACCCTGTTTTCTTACATAAAATCTTACTGGGGAGCCCAGTGTAAATAGATGGCATAAACCACCATGTTGAAATGGAATTGTAGTACTCAGTGTCCACATGTAATTGGCTTTCCAAGAGCATAGTTTTAAAAACCAATGTCATAAAATATTCAAATAATTATTTATATATTATTCTCAAAGATGATGATGCTTTAGAAATTGAATGTTTGACAGTTGTTTTACCTGATACATAAAAATTTGTATATGGCATAAAAATGCTACTAAAAGGTATAAATAAAAGGTTTATACAGTCATGTGCCACTTAAAACAGCAGGGATATGTTGTGAGGAATGCTCATTAGGTGATTGTATCATGTGAATATTATAGGGTGCATTTACACAAACCTGGATGGTATAGCCCAGCCGTGGGCAAACTATGGCCCGCTGGCCGGATCCGGCCCATTTGAAATGAATAAAACTAAAAAAAAAAAAAAAAAAAAAGACCGAACCCTTTAATGTAATGATGTTTACTTTGAATTTATATTAGTTCACACAAACACTCCATCCATGCTTTTGTTCCTGCCTCCGGTCCAATTTAAGAACCCATTGTGGCCCTCGAGTCAAAAAGTTTGCCCACCCCTGGTATAGCCTATTACACACATAGACTATATTGTATAGCCAGTTGTTCCTAAGTTATAAGCCTGTTTAGCATATTAATGTACTGAATACTGTAAGTAATTGTAATACAGTTGTTAGTATTTGTGCTTGTAAACATATCTAAAAATAGAAAAGGTACATTTAAAATACTATATAAAAGCCCTGGCTGGTTTTGCTTAGTGGTTAGAGTGTTGGCCAGAGGACCAAAGGGTCACAGGTTCGATTCCTGGTCAGGGGCACATATCTGGGTTGCAGGTTTGATCCCCGGCCCCAGTTGGAGCATGTGTGGAAGGCAACCAGTTGATGTGTCTTTCTCACATCAATGTCTCTCTTTCTCTCTCTCCCCTCCCACTCTCTGTAGGAATCAATGGGAAAAATATCCTCAGGTGAGGATTAATACACACAAAAAAATACTAAGTAAATAAATAAAATATACTATATAAAAGGTAAAAAAAAAAAATGCTACACCTGTTTAGGGTACTTATCATGAATGGAGCTTGCAGGCCTGAAAGTTGCTCTGGATGAGTGAGGGAGTGGTGAGTGGATGTGAAGTCCTAGGACATTATTGTATGCCACTGTAGGCTTTATAAACACTATACACTTAGGCTACACTAAATTCATAAAGCAACATAAAGTTAAATAAAGCACAAGAGAACATGATGCAGTAAATATGAGGTATGTGAGACTGTTGCCAGCATAATATGGCATACTGTTTTTATAGCAAACTTTTTTTTAAATAAGTAGAAAGAGTACCCTCTAAAATATTAAAAATTGTAATACATAGATAAGCCAGTAGCATAGTTGTTTATTATCATTGCCCAGTATTATGTACTGGCAGTTAACTTCATGTGCTATAGTTTTATACTAATGGCAGCACAGAATGTTTGTTTACTCCAGCATTTCCACAGACACAAGAGTAACATTGTGCTATGACATTATGACATTCAAGATGTCACTAGGCAATAGAAATTTTTCAGCTTCATTAAAATCTTATGTGACCACCATCATATGTGCAATATTTCCTTAATGTTGTTATGCAGAGCAAAATAAATGTCCAACTATTAAGCATACAGAAAGTAAAAGACAGTCTTTCACAAAGGTACTTATTTTAAATATAAATGTTATTTATCATAGCAAAATGTTGGAAAGCTACTTACTTCACAAAGTGATGGTATAGTAAATAGTAAAGTAAATACTCAAATCGTGAAAACAAAACAGAAGTGCTAATATTATTTATTTTAATTCTTACCTGAGGATATGTTTTTATTGCTTTTTTGAGAGAGAGAGAGAGAGAGAGAGAGAGAGAGAGAAATATTAATGGGGAAGAAACATCGATCGGTTACCTCCCATATGTGCCCAACCAGGGATCAAATCCACAACCTGTTGGTGTATAGGATATTGCTCCAACCAACTGAGCCACCTTGCCAGGGCAAGAAATGTTAATTTAAAACAACATACAAAGTACTGTGATCTTTAAATTTTCAAGTAACATTATGTGAAAATGAAAGTAACTGGGGGTTTTCATTTTGTTGTACAAACATTTTATCAAAATTCTTAAGCAGTGATAAGCATGGAACAAAAGATTGATGAAAGCTTGCATTTAATTTCAATAATCATTAACTGTGCCTTTTTTCTTTCAATTTTCCCTTCGCCTACTTCATTTTTTTAAATAATGATTTTAAAATTTGAGACAATGGCAAAATTAGAAAAGTGTTGAACTTTTGATTTCTTGAGGCATTTGGGAATAAATTGCTAATCTGGTCTGTCTTCATTTTCTAACACTTTTATCGTGTTTTGCCTACAAACAGGTATTCTACACAACCAGAATACAGTGGTTAAAATTAGTAAATTAGTCTCCTTTAATCTGAAACAGTTCCTCAGTTTTTCTTTGACTGTCATGACCTTGATACTTGAAAATTAATAGGCAATTTATCTTTTAGGATGCCCCTCAAATTGTGTTTTTCTGATGTTTCCTTGTGATTAGATGTAATGGATACTATATATCTTTGATAGGAATATCACAGAAATTATGTTCTTTTTTCCTCATTGCTTTGTATCAGATGGGACATAATTTAAATTTGCTGCATTACTGATGATGTGCTCTTTGATCACTTGATTAGGCTGGTGTTTGCCTGACTTCTCCACTGTAAAGTTAGTATTTACAAAGCGGGGAGGGGGGGAGGAGAGTATTTGAAGAAAGGTATTTTAAGGTAATGTAAATATATTCTTCCTTATCATCTGTCAGTCTATATCAGTATGGACTAAAGGTTTCCTGTTTTATGTGATGGGCTATTATTATAATTATTATTATTTCATTTTCAAATTGTCCTATATTTGGCAAGTGGGACACCCTTAGAGTTGTCTTCTGTGTCCTTTGGCATCTCTCTATAATTTGTGTGTGTATATATATCTATAATAATAAAAGCATAATATGCAAATCGACTGAACAACTGAACAGCAGAATGTCTGTCCAGACGACCTTCCAGATGACCATGCTATGACACGCACTGGCGCCAGGCCGGCCAAAGCAGATGCGATGTGATTAGTTGGGGGGCCCCGCCATTGCCCCACGATGGTCCCGCAGAGGGAGGCTCAGGCCACCAGCTGGCAGGGCAATCGATCAGGGGTTGGAAGGGCCTCTGTGATCATGCAGCCCCTGCCAGGTGAGCAGGGCCTCCCTCTGTGGGATGATCAATCACAGAGCCTCATGATCGATCGACCGCCCCCCCCCCCCCACTCCCCACAGAGGGAGAGGCCCAGGCTATCTGGCTGGCAGCACTGCAGCAGGTGGGGGCCCTCCCTCTGCAGGGTGATCAATTGTGGGCTCCTGAACTGCGAGAGGGTGCAGGCTGGGCTGAGGGACCCCCAGACCCCCCGAGTGCATGAATTTCGTGCACTGGGCCTCTAGTGTGTGTGTGTGTGTGTGTGTTTAATTTTTTTCTTTTTAATTAATGAATTTTTTTATTGATTTCAGAGAGGAAAGGTGAGAGAGATAGAAACATCAATGATGAGCAAAAATCATTGATTAGCTACCTCCTCTACACCCTAACTGGGGATCAAGCCTGCAACCCAGGCATGTGCCCTGACCAGGAATAAAAAAACAACGCACCAAACAATAAAAACAAAAGGCCATGCATTCAGTTTTTGCTTTCCGTACTCCACATTGGGAACTTGACTTGGTTTCTTTTAGTGGAGTATGATATTTAGAAACTTGTCTGCCTAAACCTGCTTGGACTCTAACATCCCATGCCCGGTTATCTCTCCATTGTTAACATTCTTATGCCATTGAGGCCTTCATAAACCTCTTGTTCACCATACTCAGACTGTCTTTACCACATTGGCTACTCACTCCATGTGGACCCCTGCCTGGCTCTCCTTGGGCTCTGACATTCCTGGCCAGTTTACTCTCTTCTGGATGCCTTTCTTACCCTTTTCATGCTCTTCAGGTTCTGATATCCCCCAGTGAGCCACCCCCACATAGAGAAACCTTCCTTACCTTGTTTGGGCTCAGGTTCCCCTTGCTAGGCAACCCTACCACATGGATGCTCTCCTAATATTGCTCAGGTTCTGATGCTTCATGCCAGGATGCCTTCCTGTAGGGATGCCCTCCTTACCTCACTGAACCACAGCTCCTTTCCTCCATATTTACATTTATTATTTGCCACCCAAAGGCTTTAGAATTTAATTGTTCAGAAAGAGTTAAGGCTACTTGAATGGTTTTTAAGTGGTCTTTAATATTGTTTTCACATTGCCTTTTTTTCCTATTTAAATATTTTGAATAAAAGTCAAATATATTACTTTACATTAATTAATTTTTTAGGATTCATGTATTGCTTCTGTGTAATTAAAGTACTCATTTTGGATTGTTTTGTAGCGAGCCCAAGCTGCACTGCAGGCTGTCAGTGCTGTCCAGTCAGGAAATCTGGCCCTTCCTGGAGCTCCCACCAATGAAGGCACAATGCTACCTGGGCAGAGCCCTGTGCTCCGGATAATTATTGAAAACCTCTTTTACCCTGTTACTCTGGAAGTTCTTCATCAGGTAAGGAGGGACCTTCTTAAGAAAGCAGAGTCAAATGTGCCTCTAACTTTAGGTGTTTTATATCTTTAGTTTTTTGGGTTGTTGATTTTGTTTGATGTATTTGTTTAAATTTTTAAAAAATTTACCATGTTTCATGCAAGAAGCAGTATCAATTAGAGATCATTTTGATACCCCCTGTTTTCTAACTTAAATACTTGATTTTAAACGATGTGTAAGACCTTCTTTTTTTTTTTTTAATTCCTAGACATGAAAATGAATAAAGTATAGAATCTATAAAAAGCACTGGTGATAGTTATTCCTGACAAAGTAAGATCAGTATAGAAAAGAACTAATTTATTCCTGTTGACTCTTTATATTTGAGTATTTTTATTTTTAAAACTCTGAAAGGAAGGTATACAACAATTCTTTACATGTAACATGGAAATATGTTAGTGCCGACTGATGCCCAATGTAGCTTTCATTGACTACCCGTAATATGCCTAACCTGTCTTGATAAAAGACATCCTACCATATTTTGGCCTGCTATCAGTGTATATAGAATTTAAGGATTGGGAGGTCACCTCGTTGTAATTTTAGAGTGAATAAAACTGAAATTCAGATAATTGATGCATTGTAGAGAGTAATTGAAGAGCCAATTAGAACTCAAGCCTCCTAATGTGAAGTCCCATGCTTGTTATATTTTTAATACTCCATATGTACATACCTTCAAAGTTTAACATGTAGTTATTTGTTAATCTGTATACATAAATATTTGGCATCTAGCCCAACAACTTCAGTTAATTTTGTCCCTTTTAGCTGCATAATGATTTCATTTCATTATAGTTGTCAATCCATGTATTAAAATACTAAAACATGTTATTTGCTTATTTTCATATCTGTATCTCAATATATATTACCAGGATAAAACCAGGTCAGTCCATGATTATTTAACTGCTTTTCTGATCTTTGTATTTGTACTAAAAGTGAAGAGTCATTGAAGTATGTATGTGCATATGTATTTAAGAATTGAATAGGGGAACTCTCGGAACTTCCTGCTCCGCTTTGCTGTGAACATAAATAATGCGGTTTACGATGGAGGAATGAATGGAGGAAAAACAAACAAAAAACCAAAAAACAAAAAACAAAAAAAAGAATTGAAATGCTCTTAACTCTATTCTCACATTTTACAAGTAAGGAAACAGGCCTTCTTTAGAAGTTACACTAGGTTTCCGCAGCCACTGTGCTAACTGGCGATAGAGCTTGGATACATTCCTAATGCAACTCCTGTGCCATGCATATAAATATCAAAACATACCCTTTATTAGGCCCACTGTGATCCCTGTGATAGTTTTCTGAGTACCATTTTCTTAAATATGCGTTTGTAAAGCATGTCCCAGGGAAGGCTCTAACAGAGGCATCCATAGCCACTTCTGTTCCCTGCAAGGGTTCAGGAATTGCTCAGGTGATCGCTTTCTTTTTCCTGGTGGATTTTCTTCTCTTTGTTTATCCCACAAAATGGCCCTGAGCACGCTGTGATCCATCAGCAGTGTTTGTTTGGTTTTGGTACTGTAACCCTGTAGCTACTGCTAACGTACGCTGTGTTACAAAGGACATTCTTGGTCCTGTGGCTCAGCGTTGCCATCTGTCACGGTGAGTTTAGCCAGGGTCATGTGGTGCGGTCCTGTCGTTCCATTTATTATCTTCATGACAGCAGTAACAAACCTTGTTTCTCTCCCAAAAGATCATGGGTTCCTTCCGGTGAAGAGTAGTAATTCTGAGGATCCTCAGTAGTAACTTTGGGGGTGGGACTCTCGGCCTTCAGTTATAGCACTCTCTTGTTTCATGCTCCTTCCCATTGTTGTTGAAATCAAACCACATTCTTTACCAAGGCCCTTAAGGCCCCCACATGCAGACCTCTCCCCATCTCTTTAACCCCATTTCCTAATACTTCTCTGCTTATTTACCACCCTGACTTTTTTGGTTCATTGATCTTCTCCCCTTCCCTCCGGCTTATTCCTGTCTTAGTCCATTTTTATTTTCTATTATTTAAGCTTAGAACACTCTTCACTGAGATAGTCACTTAACTGGATTTTACATAATTAGGTTTTCACTTTATTCACCTCCTCAGAGAGTCTTTCTCTAATTACATTAACTAAGCCCTCTCCCTCTAGTATCCTATCTCATTAACCAGCTAAAGTGTAGTGTAGCCTAAGCATTAAGGATACAGGGTTTGGAGCTGGTTTGAATCCTGGCTCTACCACTTACTACCTCTGTAATCCCGGGCAAGTACCTTAGCTCATCTATGCCTTTTATTTACTTACTGGTACATAATGGAGATGAATTAAGATGGTCTCTAATACCTTCATTGTGAGGTTTATGAGTTAATGCACTTAAAGCACTTAGAACAGTGCCTGCTACATATTAAGTGCTCAAGAAAGTTTATCTTTAATTATCAGATACTAGTAAATTTCACTGTAAGGAAATGAGATTTAATTTCATAAGTAATCGCATAAAATGCAATGAATATTGAGATGGGATCATACATGGAAATGTGGAGTTGCTTGCACCTGTTACAATTAGAGGATTGTTTTATATTCTTTGCTGAAGAGTTGGCATTAGCTAAACTTCTCTTTAACATCTGTAGAAGCTTGTGGTTGTTCCTTTAGCTCAGGGTAAAGGCGTTGAGATGGGAATGGTGCTATTTCAGATGATGGACGTTAAGAGAGATGTTTTTAATATGTCATTTGAGCAAAAGCTTGAAGGATGTTAGGGTGTAAGTTGTGTGTTCGTGGTAGAATGATGGTCCAGTCAGAAAAAGCAGCAAGTGCAAAGTCCTGAACATGAGGGTGTGCTTAATGTGTTCAAATATCAGAAATAAGGCTCTGTCAGTGGAATATAAGTAGGAACTTAGTAAATAAGAGGGTCAGAGAAGCAGTTAGGAGCCATATTCTGTAAATAAAGATTTTATTATCTTACATGTAAGTAAGATGGGAAACCATTGGAGGATTTGGGGAAGAGGGGCACGTTTATGTTTTAACAGAGTCACTCTCGTTGCTGTTATAAGACTACAGACAATAGTACAGTGAAGGCCTGGGGATGGGGAGGAAGCTGGGTGGAAGGGGTCAATGAACAAAAAGGGACATCTGTAATACTTTCAACAGTAAAGATAAATTTTTTAAAAAAAGAATAAGCTGTAGGCGTAAGTGAAGGCTCTTGTCATAATCGTGTAAGAGAGGGTGGAGACTGGGGTAAGGACGTGGGCACTGGAAGTAGTGGTTACGGATATATTTGGAAGGATTTGCTGATGGGTTGAGTAGGTGTAGGTTATGAAGAGGAAGAGAGTAATCAATATTGTCTTCCAGATTTTACCTGTGAAATGGTAAAGTAGAGCTATCTTATACTAAAATAGTAAAGACTGAGGGGAATAAAGATTTGGGGCAGGGGAAGGTAGGGCAGGAATCAAGAGTGTGTTTTGGACATGTTTGATAGATCTATTAGACATCCTAAGCAGGAGATGTTGAATAGACAATTGGCAGATAAACCTACATTGGCATAAGAATTCTGGGCTAGAGATTTGGTAATCATCATCTTATGGGTGGTAATTTAAGGCCATTGGATTGTATGGCATCACCTAGGATAAAGGACTGATCTTTTTGAATTGCAGAATAAAGATAAATAACTTGCAAAATCTATTATGGTATTAAATAAAAAATTAAAACTAGTAATATAAAATTCTGGTTCTTAAGTCTTACTATTTTGTTGGCTACAAAAACTATTACAAACAAATTGTGTTCGGTGTGCCTGATATTTTTTAAAGTTCTAAGATGAATATACTTTTTACAAGTGAATACCAGTGAGCATTTTTAGTTTCTGGCAAGTTCTACCTATATAAATATCACCTTGAAAATTAATTTTACCAGAATTTGAGCTTCAGTATTTCTTTAGTCCCATTTTAAAGTCCAAAAGAACACAACGTACAGGAGATATCGAGTTGAGTCTATGCGTTTATATTTATGACATCAAAATAAATATATTAGGAAAATAAAGTCAGAGATGTTATAGTCAATATATTAGGAAAATAAAGCCAGAGACCTTATAATCAATAAAAATAAATCTGAATATATTGAACCTTCCTGAATGTTAATCTTTTGAAACCAAATCGTTTAAAATTTAGTATTTTGATAATTATGAAATAATGTTAAAAATCACACTTTAGACATTCCTAGATTCTTAGATATTGGTGCTCTTAATTTACTTTATTCAAAAGTATCAGATTGATTGATTTCTGCAGCTATTCTCTCAGTACGTAAATACAATCCAGGGGACTCTAGAGAGCTATCTGTGGTTAGCCAGTTAAGTCCATTTATATCCTCTTAGCATTTTCAGATAAAAATCACATACCTGTCAGTGAGGATATCTGTAGGTTGTTTTCCAGATTAAATGAGAGAATGAATCTAATTAGCATATTATACTTTTATTATTATAGATTTAAAATTCTATTGCTACTCATTTATTTGGTGATAAAAACACATAGTTGACACACTTATACAGATTGATGGTGCATGGTGTGTGTGTGCACACAACTTCACAGTATTACCAAGGATGAAAATTAAGAAAATATAAGTAAGACCTTTTACCAAGAATGCTTATACCTATATCTTAAAGAAAGATGCAAAATAAAATTCAAACTGAGAAGGTAAATTTGGTGTTTTATGAATATCAAGAGTATTATCTAGGTGGGGTGGATGGGAGTCAGTGAGGTTTGAAAAGGGGGAACATCTGTAATACTTTCAACAATAGAGATAAATTTAAAAAATACTAAAGTAATGACATTTTGGGGGGGGCATAGGGGGCGCAGAATATTATCTAGGACACAGGTTGTACTGAGAAGATACCTGTGACAGGACAAAAATTTTCATTAAAAGAAAAAAGCAAAATAATTTCCTTAAGTTTTACAAAACCCAATTAAATGAGGAATTAAGGTACCAAAGTTCTAAACCCTGAAATAAGACCATAATGAAATTAACTACAGTTTTTTAAAAGTTTTTAATTTCAATAAAGAGCCCTCAGACTATCTAATTTTAAGGAATGGCATTTTCTGGTAAGCCCCTTCCAAGACATTGGTTTCACAAATCTTGAATGATGTTATTTCCTGTAAGAAGTGTTTGACTCTAAGCTAATTATATGTTAAGAATGTCTTGTCAAAAATGACCATTTGGACTTTAGAATACTTTATTTTGGGCATGGTAAAATACACATAAATAAATTTTACCATTTTAAGACATTTTTCATCTTTCCATACTACAACTCCTGTACCCATCCTATCTAATACAGAGGGAATATTCTAGTTGACCCTCACACCATCACAAAGATGGCAGCACCCACAACCAATAAGGAGGGAATATGCTAATTGAGTGCCCGACCTCAAAGATGGCAGCACCCACAGCCAGTAAGGAGGGAATATCCTAATGGAGTGTCCCAACCTCAAAGATGGTGGTGCCCACAACCAGTAAGGAGTGAATATGCTAATTGACTGCCACGCTCTCAAATATGGCAGTGCCCACAGCCACAAGATGGTGGCGCCCAGTCCCCTCAGCCCCCTAGCCCCCCAGCCGCCCAGGGCCGGCCGAGACGCAGGCAAGTCTCGGATGTCGGCTGCCCCAGCCGCCCAGGGCCGCCCAAGGCTCAGGTAACCCGGGCTGCTTGAGGCTTGCACTGCTGGCAGTGGCGGCAGCATAGGTGTGATGGGGCATCGCCTTCCCCTGATCGCTGGGTCACCTGCCCCTGGGGGCTTTCAGACTGTGAGATGGAGCAGGCCAGGCTGAAGACCCCCCCCCCCCCCAGTGCATGAATTTTTATGCACCGGGCCTCTAGTCCTATATAATAAAAGGCTAATATGCAAATAGACCAAATGGCGGAATGACTGGTCACTATGATGCGCACTGACCACCAGGGTGCAGATGCTCAACACAGGAGCTGCCCCTTGGTCAGTGCACTCCCACAGGGGGAGCGCCGCTCAGCCAGAAGCCAGGCTTATGGTTGGCAAGCGCAGCGGCAGTTGTGGGAGCCTCTCCTGCCTCCGCGGCAGCACTAAGGATATCCGACTGCTGGCTTAGGCCCACTCTTTGAGTCCCTGCCTTTAATCTTTTTGGGTAACTTCCCAGAAGTGGAATTGTTGGTTCATATGGTAATTCTGTTTTTAAGTTTTTGGGGTTTTTGAAGAACCATCATGAATATTTTCCATAGTGCACAGGGTTCTATTTTCTCCACATCATCTCCAACACTCAGTATTTTCCTTTTCTTTGTTTTGCTAATAGCTATCCTGTTGGGTTTGAGGTGGTTGGTATCTCATAGTTTTTATTTGCATTGCTTTAATGATTAGTGATGCTAAGAATTTTTTCATGTTTTTATTGGCTATACAGTCATCTTTTTTCGTAGAAATGCCCATTCACGTTTTTTGTTCATTTTTAAATTGGGTTTTTGTTGTTGAATTGTAATTATTTATATTCTGGATATTAACCCCTTATCAGATATATGATTTGTAAATATTGTCTTTCATTTTGTGGGTTGCCTTTTCACACTGTTCATAGTATTTTTAATGTACAAAAGTTTTTAATTGTGATGTAGTCGAATTTATCTATTTTTCTTTTGTTGCCTCTGCTTTAGGATATTCTTTCTGATAATTAGAAAGCAGAGCCATTTGCCCTATTAACAATACTCAGACATAATCTTTGATAATAGGAAATTTTTACCAGCTTAGGGAATACTTATCTTTTTATTCTTAGAAGTAGAGGACAAGTTTCTGGGTCATTAAGATCCAAACTTAAAACGGGATGTCAGAGGAAAACAAAATACATTGTAGTAACCCTGGCCGTGAACCTTTGTTTTGGTGAAGTAGAACAGTATTGTAAGAGCATTGATAACAAGAGATCTGTCAGGAAACCTTCCCCGAACCTTTGTTTATTCCTCTTCTCCAATACCACTTGGACGTCTCCAACTTCAATTCTGGTTTTCTCTCATCCCTTTTTCTTTTTTAAATTCATAACCTTTTTTACAACTGAACATTGTTATTTATTTGCTTAGTTACCATATGTCTTTTCTCATAAGGGCAGAGACTCTTGTCTCTGTTTTGTTCACTGCTGACTTTCCAGTGCTTAGAACAGTACTCTGTGAGTCTTTGAATTAATAGAGCAGTCTCTATTGAACATCTGTAGTTTGTCTGTCTCTAAAATCTCAAAAAGTTAGAGGCGATTCTCAGAGGGAAATAGTTGATCAATGTGACTCTTCCACTTCCATTCATATACTTCTCACCCCATTATCTTATAATATTAATTATTTTCTATTGTAGACTCCCGTTTTAGTATTGTGCCACTTATGACATACTATAAAGTAGGTTAAATATTTGAGTGCCTAAGGTTAGGCACTGTTTTAAGCCATGCATGGGTGTTGAAACTTTAACATCTTAGGTTTGATTTAAATTATTTTGGTACCAGCAATTTTAACAGAGGAAATTATTTTCATTTAAAGATGGGATTCATGAGTCAAGCTGTATTTATAAAGATATGTGAGTTTAAGTTTTTCCTTAGATTTAACCTAATGTGAACTTTTTTTCAGATATTTTCTAAATTTGGCACAGTCTTGAAAATTATCACCTTTACAAAGAATAATCAGTTTCAAGCCTTGCTTCAGTATGCTGACCCATTGAATGCACAGTATGCCAAAATGGTAATTATTAACATTTTTTCATTTTTCAGTTGTTAATCAGTCACTTCAGTGATACCAAAGGAAGCCTTTATGTCTTCTCTCTTCCTCCCATTTACCATGTGTTTTTTAATTGTAGTAAGATAAACGTAATATAAAAATTATCATTTTCAAATATACTGTTTCATATGGTCTTTTTTATAACAAGCTAAAAATTACTTTGTTCATATGAAATGGTTTCAAAGCACCTATTATAGCTCAAGTTCTCTGGGACTCATTTCTGTTTGTCATATTTGAAGTCTAACATTGAGCACAGTGCTCCTGATATAATCTAACTAATAAAGTAAAATTATCCTTGCCCTTATGCTTTCATTTACTTCTATTAAATTATCCAAAGATTGATTTCACTGTTTTTACAACTGTATTTCTTGTTGAATCTTATGAGCTCTGAGTTGGTGAATACATTAAATCTTAGGAAACCTGCTGTGTCAACTCATAGTCTTTTTTTTTAGTTCAGGAGTGCTTGATGGTTGACAAGATATAAAATTCCACAGTTTGGTTATATTTGACCCACCTCCTATTGAGATCTTACCTCTCTAAGCAGAATTCTGTCTTCCATCAGGGTCTGAATTGTTTCTGAGTTCTTTTCAAAGGTAGGGATAAAGTTAGTTGTACTTTTGTGTGCCACACAGTGTCTGCCTCTTGATTAGGGATATGGCCTTTATATTTGTGCCCTCTTCCTCCACATACATGTAATTCTGTGCCTTTATAGTGGCATACTCATCAATAAACTATTACAAGTCAGGGTTTTTTGTATAGTTTTGTCTTGGTTTCTCATATTTATTTTGATAAATTTCGGCATTTGTGGAAGTCAGAAGTGACTACAAATATTCCTTTGGTAAATTTTTATTATTATGAAGGGGGGGATTACTGATTTTTAGTCTTGTTCCAGAACTGACTTCAAATTTCCCTCAGTTTATTATTTATTTATTTTTATTTATTTACTTATTTTGTTAACCCTCATCCAGGGATATTTTTTCCCACTGATTTTTATTTTATTTATTTTTAATATATATTTTTATTGGTTTCAGAGAGGAAGGGAGAGGGAGAGAGAGATAGAAACATCAGTGATGAGAAAGAATCATTGATTGGCTGCCTCCTGCACGCCCCCTACTGGGGATCGAGCCCACAACCCAGGCATGTGCCCTTGACCCGAATCAAACCCAGGACCCTTCAGTCCGCAGACCGACTCTCTGTCCACTGAGCAAAACCGGCTAGGGCCCATTGATTTTTAGAAGAGTGGAAGGAAGGGGGAGAGACAGAGAGAAGCGTCTCTGTGAGAGAGAGACATCCATTGGTTGCCTCATGCTCGCTCCTTGCCTGGGGTGGGGGTGTCTAGCCTGCAATTGAGGTACATACCCTTAATCTGGAATGGAACCCGAAACCCTTCAGTCCTTGGGTGGATGCTCTAACCTCTGAGCCAAATCGACTAGGGCCCTCAGCTTGTTACTCAAAGTGCTAAAAAATAAAGTTATAAGAGAAAAAAATATGATAGATATTTCATGTATTGCTTTTCTAATAAGTACCATTTAGAAAGGCTTTATTTTATCGTAACCTGTATAAACTATATTAAACTATACTCATTCTTTAAAAAGAATTAAAATGAAATGTAAAAATATCTGTAAACACTTTTTGTGGACAAAATAATCATAATATCAGCTCATACAATGTACAGGAATGCATAATAGTTTTCCAAGCCTTTACATTCCCTCTCTAATTTGATCTTTACCAGAGACAAGATAGGGATTATTATCCTTATTTTACAGATGGAAAAACTACAGTTAGACATTTACTTTTTCTCTCTTAGGTGCACATAGTGACAGAGGTAAAAGTAAATAAAGGTCTTTGGCTTTTAATCCAGTGCTCTCTGCTTTATACCTGATAGCCATTCTTTGTCAAAGTAGAGACTACTTGATTTATCAGTGTTGTTGTCTTGCAAAACATCAGTCCCTTTCTTACATGCTTTAGGCACTGGATGGCCAGAATATCTATAATGCATGCTGCACTCTGCGTATTGACTTCTCCAAGCTTACCAGCCTTAATGTGAAATATAATAATGACAAAAGCAGAGACTTCACTCGCTTAGACCTTCCTACTGGTGATGGCCATCCATCCCTTGAATCCCCTATGGCTGCTGCTTTTGGTGAGTAGTTCTGTTTTGGGTCACAAAGCAAGTTTTCCGAAGTTACACATTTCATTTATTAATCCATGTTATGTCAGTTAGCCTTTTTCTTCTTACATTCTCCCAGGTTTTCTAAGGGATAGCAAGGATCGTAGAACAAAATTTGTCGATTAATTAAATTTTAATATTTGTAGATTCTGTTAGTTGGCAAAACAAGTAAATATCTGACATTGAGAATTACAGATTTATTTTCTAACGTAAATATTATTCATTCTTTATCAACCATTCAACAGTGTACTTCAAATTAATAGTCTTTTACACATTAACATTAGTTTAAATATGTTGGTTTATAGCCAAGAGAATATTGGCTTAAGTGCTCCTGAGAGAAATCCTTTTTTAAGTAGTGATATATTAAAATAAGGATCTAAATTAGTGGTATGTTCTTCCTTTATTCAAACAAAAGTATTTGTTTTGTTTTGTTTTTTAAACATCAGAACTTCCATCTTTACCTTAAGTTTGTGGGAAGTTGCATTTTTACATTAATAAAAATAGTCTTCTGAATTGTCTCTGTAAATGTTGCTCTGAAGGGCTTCCTTCTTGTATTTAAAACTAGTTCTCAATACATTTATACGTACTTTTAAAATAAAACTTTATGTTAAGGAAAAAGCAGTGGATGGCCCGGTTGGATATATCACTAGGTTAATGTGTGCTACTTTTTGGATTTGCAACTTTTGAAAGTGTGGTTTATATTTAGATAAAGTAATAATTGTATTACCCTTTGTGATTTTCCCAAATGACACCATAAAATATTGTTTATTGAGACCGTAAGTGATATTTATTCTATCTTCATTTCACAGATGAGAACAAAAACAAGCCTTATTAGCCAAATGGTTGTCTAAAATTCTCGAGAAAATACTTTGTAACTTTTATTTTTCTTTTCTTTTCTTTTTTTAATATATTTTATTGATTTTTTACAGAGAGGAAGGGAGAGAGGGATAGAGAGTTAGAAACATCAATGAGAGAGAAACATTGATCAGCTGTCTCCTGCACACCTCCTACTGGGGATGTGTCCGCAACCAAGGTACATGCCCTTGACCGGAATTGAACCTGGGACCTTTCAGTCTGCAGGCTGATGCTCTATCCACTGAGCCAAACCGGTTAGGGCTGTAACTTTAATTTTCAAGTATAAAAGCCTTTTGTTCTTTATAACTGAAAAAAAGTCAAGTGAACTGTTAAGTTCATGTTCCTAAAGTTGTTGAAGTTTCTGTTTTGGTCTGACCAATTTGTGTGTTTTATTTGTTACCAGCCTTTACTTACATGTCTGATTCTGCAGAGCCAAAGGTCTTTGTAATTACTGTTTCAATAACACATGATAGAAATTGAGGCTATCATTCAAGTTTGCCAAAACTGGCTGTCAAGTGCAGAACTACACTTACTCCAATAACAGAATATATACTGCTAGTGTAATTAATGTTCTGCATTGTGAAAAGAGGACATTTAAAAAATACAATTAAGAATTTTGGTTTCGCCCAGACGGGTTTGGCTCAGTGGATAGAGCGTTGGCCTGCGACTCAAGGGTCCCAGGTTCGATTCCGGTCAGGGGCATGTGCCGTGGTTGCGGGCACGTCCCCAGTGGGGAGTGTGCAGGAGGCAGCTGATTGATGTTTCTCTCTCATCGATGTTTCTAACTCTATCCCTCTCCTTTCCTTTCTGTAAAAAATCAATAAAATATATTTTAAAAAAAAAGAAGAAGAATTTTGGTTTCTGAATATAAAGTGTCAGAATGTTAACATCCTTTTTCATTGTGTTAATAAATTCATAGTTGTTGCAAAGTGATGCCTACATCCTAAGATAAGTGATTCATCAGAGAACAATGCTTTTTTATGTATTGTGTGGAAGTTTACTATTCCCTCTTCAGAAACACCACACTCTTGACCTTTTTCCTACCTCAGTGTATTCTTTCTCTTTTTTAAAGGTTAACATTTAAAATTTCTAGGGTTACGTTTTAAGCACTTTGTCCCAGTTTTTAGTGATACTTACAGGGTCGTACAAAGGTGGGTTTACAGTTGTTCATATGGAAAAATAATACAATAATTAATAAATAGTGATATAGGAATAAACTGTTTTGTGTACTCACAACTGTAAACCTACCTTTGCCCCACCCTGTATTTTATCAATAGAAAAGCTTATGAGACATGTAAATATATTTTAATACTTATGTAATTGTTACCTAGGTTAAAAAATCAAATATTTATACATACCGAAGAAGCACTCTTTGTACCCTTCTCATTAATTGTGCTCCCACTCTAAAGATAATCAGTCTCAAATTTTATGATAATCATTCTTTTGCTTCTTAGCTTTTTGTTTTTACTTTGTTGTTGGTTTTACTATTTATTATGCAGCCCTAAGTGCTAATTTATAAAATGTCTTTTTCTATATTCAGAACCTTACATAAATGGAGTTATGCTATTTGTTTTTTGTGTGTGTGACTTGTGAGTCATTCATATTTATATATGTGACTGTTGCTTATTCATTCTCAATACTGTCAAGTGTATAGATTCCCATTGTGTGATATACCACAGTTGTGTTTATCCATTCTATTGTGGATAGACATTTGGGTTATTTTAGTTGGAGGCCATTATGGCCAATGCTGCTCTTGATTAAAGAGGTTGAACATATTTTTATTTGTTTATTGGTCATTCTCCCTTATGAATTTGTCTACCTCTTTTGCCTAATTTTATGTTCGGTTTATTGCTTTTTCTTGTTTATTTGCAGGATTTTTTTTATCTCTCAAACACTTTTTTGGTTATATGTGTTAGTTATATGCATTTCTTTTATTTTTGGCTTTATGGTATTTTTATGTAGTCAGATTTATTTGCCAGTTTCTTTTCTTTTCTTTCTTTTTTTTTTTTTAAATATATTTTATTGATTTTTTACAGAGAGGAAGGGAGAGAGATAGAGAGTTAGAAACATCGATGAGAGAGAAACATCGATCAGCTGCCTCCTGCACATCTCCCACTGGGGATATGCCCGCAACCCAGGTACATGCCCTTGACCGGAATCGAACCCGGGACCTTTCAGTCCGCAGGCCGACGCTCTATCCACTGAGCCAAACCGGTTTCGGCGCCAGTTTCTTTATGTTTGTGTTTTTTGTGTCTTGTATAAGAAATCTTTTGTTGCCCTGACATCATAAAGCTATATACTTCTATTCTAAAATTTATAGTATTTTAGTAACTTTGTTTTGAAATAATTTACATTGCAAAAATAGTACAAAGAATTGCCTTATATCATTCATTCATATTCCTCAATTATTAACATGCCACATGTGCTTTATCATCTCTCTGAGTGTGAGAGTGTATGTAAGTAGGTAGGTAGGTTTTTTTACCCGCCTGAGTCACTGGAGAGTAAGTTGCAGGCATAATGCCCCTTTACTTCTAAATACTCATTGTGTATTTTCTAAGAACAAGGTCATTCTTACCTAAATAGAGTTAAGTTATCAAAACCAGGAAATTAACATTCATATACTACTATTATCTAATCCAGCCGTGGGCAAACTATAGCCGGCGGGCCGGATTCGGCCCGTTTGAAATGAATAAAACTAAAAAAAAAAAAAAAGACCATACCCTTTTATGTAATGATGTTTACTTTGAATTTATATTAGTTCACACAAACACTCCATCCATGCTTTTGTTCTGGCCCTCCGGTCCAGTTTAAGAACCCATTGTGGCCCTTGAGTCAAAAAGTTTGCCCACCTCTGATCCATAAACCTTTTAAATTTTTGACAGTTGTGAAAATAATGTTCTTTTATAAGAGAATTTTTTCTGGTAAAGATCCAAACCAGTATCAGGCCTAATTTATTTGTCATATCTTTTTAGAGTCCTTTAATTTGGAACACTTCTTTGTCTTTCATGACCTTTTCATTTTTTAAGAGTTCAAGTCAGGTTTTGTGTAGAATGTCTCTCAATATGAGTTTGTGGTGTTTTTTGCTGAAATAATGTGTCTTTCTCAGTTTATTATGTCAAGAGACACATGATGCCAGTTTATTCTATTCTTGGTGATAGTACCTTTGGTCATATGGGTAAGGAAGAAACTTCCCTTTTCCCTCAAAGTCCTTCCAGCTGGTCTGATAATCAAATCTACGTGAGGCAAATTAGCAAGAAATAATAGCCAGACGTAAGTGCATACGTACACAGGGGAGCCCCACATTCATGAGAGACCGAGAGACCCTACATACATGAGTGGGTCAAAGACAGAAAGAGGAAATGAGGTATATATGAACAAATGAGGCAATATGACATTCTGCATTGGGGCTTCAGAAGGGAGGAAGGTCATCGAAGGGCAATAGAGCGGATGTGAATTCAGTAACTAGTAGTTTGCCCTGCCATATAGATAGATCATAAAATGTTATTTCTGGTGATAATTCTTATTATATGCAAGGCCTCTAATTTAAATTTTTCTAGGGAGTTCAATGGTGGCAGACGTTTCTCTTGAATCTGCAGGGTCTCTGTTGCCTTGATCTCAGAATAATCTGCATACCATAGAGGCATGTCTTGAACCCCTATAAGCACTTATTAAAGTGGTTTCTGACAGGTTTCTTTTGGGGTTTGTTATTATAAATAACAATGCTAAACTGATTTCAATGCTGTCTATTAATTTATCTGGCCTTAATTGCTATTTTGGGTCTACATTTTCCAAATGCAAAATATCTATTCTTAATCATCCAAATCTTAGAACTTTTCCTTAAAGGTTTGTATAAACTTTTCATAAAGATATTAACATATTGCCCAACAGGTTACTTTGCTAAAATGTTTTTTGTTTCTGCTTATTTGAGGAGCACATTTATGGAAACGTAATAAATAATTCTTTTTTCAAATTTTAACAGATATCGTTATTAATCATTATATTCTACTGGGAAACAATTATTTAAATTTTGACCCTGATAATTGGTTGCCAGTTCTTATATTTATCACTATTTTGTGTTCTGTGATAGTTATCTCAAAATTTTCCTCATTTTTCTAAAACCTGCTGGTCTGACTCAGACCCCTCTCAGTAGGCATCTGTACTGGTCATTTGTTGTGTTTAAAAAGAATCTCTCTTGTCCCCCCAAATCTCTGGATTTACAGCAATTAACATTTATTTCTCTCATAGCATCAACACTTAGGCACCTGTGAATCTGCTTTTGCAACCTTCATTCATATACCTTTGTAATCCAGGGCTTGGGCTGAAGATGTCACTCCATTGGAGACATGCATTCTTATGGCAGAAAGTAAAAATAAGAGAGCTGTTTACACTATAATGCCTCTTAAAACTTCTATACAGAGGCAGCATGTCTGTGTGTTCCTATGACATGATCAAATGCAGTGGGAATTGCATAGAAATGCATGCTCCTTCAACAGGAGGCACTGCAAGTCACATGGAAGGGGCAAGTGAATATTTGGCAACAGTAATAAAATGTACCATATTTCTTCTTTTTTAAAAAAATATATTTTATTGATTTTTTACAGAGAGGAAGGGAGAGGGAGAGAGAGTTAGAAACATCAATGAGAGAGAAACATCGATCAGCTGCCTCCTGCACACTCCCTACTGGGGATGTGCCCGCAACCCAGGTACATGCCCTTGCCCGGAATCGAACCTGGGACCCTTGAGTCCACAGGCTGACGCTCTATCCATTGAACCAAACGGTTAGGGCTGTCATATTTCTTTTTATGTTTAACTTTGTATTGTAAATTTTTATAATTACTCATATCCATATTGAAGTCCCTTTGTTGTCTTTCTTTATGCCTTTACTATAGTTATTCTATTGTAAAGATGAATCATTTTACCTATGATCTTCCGTTGACTGGAATGTAAGTTTAGCAAGGACAGAGATTCTTATCTGCTTTGTTCAGTGCTTCCTTAGTGCTAAATAGGCTTGGCTCATAATATGCTTTCAATAAATATGCTTCCCTTCTAATTACATCAGTTATTCTGTCATTTATTTTGTGTTTTCAGTTCTCTCTGCTAGCTCTACCTCTGAAGTCTCAATAACTATATTTTCTTGAATTATTTTAATAAATCACAGCTATATATTCAACTAATTCTGTTAAATCTCTTTCATGAAGAGAATAAACTTACATAAGCTTTTAACTCCTCTGGAAAATACAGCCTATATTCTTCTATAAATATATTCATCACCCTGTTATTAAAAAACAAAACCCTCCCTTTGGCTCTCACAATCTAACTTTTCACTGCTGCTATAAAACTGTTCTTTATCTTTCACATTTCTCATTCTTTTTAACCTCTGTTGAACCCCTTCTCCAAAATAACTTTGATTCTCTAGATCCCAAAGAACTAGAATTCACTTTTTTTCCTAGTTCGACGGCTGTTTTTTTTTTTCTCTTTTAGAATGTCCCTCTTCTTTCCTCTGCTATTTAAGTGTACCAATTGATATTCCCAGGTTTTGTTTTTAGCTCTCTTAGTTTTTTGTCGTGTGCCCTTTTCAGTGGGGCTCTCATTCATTCGGCTCATTTATTTCTACACAGATGATTTATAAATCTCTGTTTATTGTTATTCTGAGTTTGCCCCCTCGTTTCCACTATTGGACATTACCATTTGAAGGTTTTTACCTCCACCTTGACATGTCCAAAACCAAATTGTTTTCCTATTAATACTGACTCCTCCATTGGAACTAAGTCCTGTTTTTGTTGATGATGCATAGTCACCAGGTTTCTGAAAGGAAAGGTACCAGCATTTGTTTAGCATCTAGTGCACACTAAACACTTTGCTTTTCAATGCATAACACCTAGCTCAAGTTTCACCTCCTGAGAAACCTTCTCCAAAAAATCACAGTGAATCCTCTGTGATCCTTTCTTCTTAGACCACTTGTAATGCATTTGTATTTAAACCACTAGATCCTCAGCATATGAATCTCCTCAAATTATATGTTTAGTTTGTAAACCTCTCAGAGGCAAGGATTTGTATTTCATATTTCCTTTTTATCAATTCAGTACCCCATAGGTATACAACCTAATAAGTTTTTATTGACTTTTACATAGAAACAATCCTTTAAATAAGGGCAAGAATTTCAGCCTAATAACAAACTAATAACTCAAAACTAAATAACAGCTAAGCTGTACTCTACACCTTGAACTCAGTTGAAAGGGGTTCGCCTCTGGAAGTGGCAGAGACTCTACATTAGCGATCACCTATTGAATAAATTTTTACTTCACAACAGAATTCTTTATCAATAATATGCCCTTATATAGCCATTTTATATTGCTTTGATAACCATATTTATAGAAGGTAATATATTTATTTTAGCTTCTCTTTTCCATTAGGTGCACCAGGTATAATTTCCTCACCATATGCAGGGGCTGCTGGATTTGCCCCAGCCATTGGATTTCCTCAAGCTACAGGTGATTTTTTTCAAAGTTCAGTTTGAATTGATTTTTTTCTGATGTCCTATATTTTTGATAGAGTGGAAGGGAATGGGCGGAGGAGGGTGTCGAAGAGGAGGGAGAGGGAGAGAAACATTGATAGGTTACCTCCTGCACACGCCCTGACACATTTTCTTCTTTATTTATTTTGCTTTTGCCTTTATTTATTTATTTATTTATCAAGTGTTGTAATCTTCAGATAACTAAAATATGAAATGCTTTTGATGTTTTGAAAAGGTCTGTCAGTCCCAGGTGTTCCTGGAGCTCTTGGTCCTCTCGCACTCACCTCCTCTGCTGTCACTGGAAGGATGGCCATTCCTGGGGCTGGTGGTATACCAGGAAATTCTGTTCTGCTTGTCACCAATCTCAATCCTGATGTGAGTTGGAAAGCATTGTAACATAGTCTTTCAGAAGAGGTCTGTAGTCGCTTCTGATCTAGAGTTGTATTCAAATAAATTTTAAGTTTATTTTAAGAATATTTATTAAAATTCATCACTAGTATATATAGAGGAAGTATATAAAATAAATGCTTTAAACAAAGTCACCTGTTATTATTACAAGTAAACTTATTTTAAAGTTTTACGTATATTAGTCAGACACCTGTATTTTGTATTATCCTTTCAGCTTATCACACCACATGGGCTGTTTATCCTATTTGGTAAGTTTCTTTTTTTTTCTATTTTTAGTATTATCTATGATATGGATTGAATACATTTCATCATTCAGTAATATTTATTGACTGTCTCTGTGTGCCAAGTAGTGTGTTTGACACTGAAGATAGAGTATTAGTAAGTAATTACAATAAAATTTTATTTAAAAAGGGAATGTATAGCTGGGAGTCCTAACCTAGCTGAGGTAATCAGAGATGGTATGCCAAGAGAAATTATAGTTAAAACTGACTTGTGAAAAATCATAAGCATTAACCAGGCAGAAAAAGGAGGGCAAATATCCTTTCACAGGCATTAGCAGTGAGAGAGCTTCTGGAGCAGGGAAGTGAAGGAAGTCAAATGGAGAGTATAAGGGACAGACATGTTGAAGCTGTACACGTGGGTGGGACACATCATGAAGAGCTTGTAAGCTAAGTTATGGAGCTTGGTTTTAACCTAAGAACCATGGGAAACCATTGAGTAGTTTTAAGCAGGAGAGAGGAATTATGAGCTTCAGGTTTTACCAATTTCCAAACTTTCTAATAGTGTTTTTCTCAGTTAAAAAAATCTAGCACAGCCCTAGCCAGTTTGGCTCAGTAGATAGAGCATCGGCCTGAGGCCTGAGGACTGAAGGGTTTCGGGTTTGATTCCGGTCAAGGGCACATGCCTGGCTTGCAGGCTCAGTCCCCAGTGGGGGGCATGCAGGAGGAGCTGATTAATGATCCTCATCATTGATGTTTTATCTCTCTCTCCCTCTCCCTTCCTCTCTGAAATCAATAAAAATATATTAAAAAAAATTTAGTACATACTCCTAATTTATATATGACTCATTATTCATACACTTCATCCATATTCAGTGTAATCATTATATATATTGTAATATATACAAATATATGAGCAATTCCATAAGCAGTATTTAATATCTTAAAGATTTTTATTAATGGTGAAACTTTTTCATAAAAACTTTTTCATTAACGTTTAGTGAGAAATATTATATAATATGCTTCATTATTTTCAGAAATCTTTTTTATTTTCATTCAATATTCTAAGGTCTGATTCTAAATTCACTTTATTTTAGTACTTGATCTGAATGGTTGTCAAACTGAAAAAGAAACCTCATATATATATGTGGTATAAATGGAAGTGTTTCATTGTTGCTACACCTAATTATGACACTAATTTTTCAGTTTAATTCACTAATTTTTGTTGTACTTTGAAAAATTCCATTTTTCCTCTTGTTAAATTAGTTGATCTTGAAACTATTGCGTGAGAATATTTTTAACAAATGGAGTTAAAACTCACTTCCATTTAGAATTGTAAATTCTTGAGTGGATAATAGGTGTTTTAAGCTGTGTTTTTGGGGTGTCATTTATAGGTACACAACAGTACGGAATTGTGCAGTCATTATTATCAAAGCCCAGTTTTAGAACATTTTGATCATCCCACAGAGATCTTCCATGCTCATTTGCAGTAAAAGTTTTTATTGATGACACATTTCTGTTTTCAGTAATGAAATCATATATTAATGATACATTTTTATATCTCTTTCCTAGTCCAAGCACATTTCTTTCTAAAAGTAGTTAATTTCTCACTCACTTAAAAAAATATCACCCTCAGCTTGAAGAACAAATTGTGTGTGGGGGGTTGTTTTTAAAAAAGTAATAGCTATTTCAGCCACTTGTCATTTCTGAAAAGAACAGAAAATTGGAATAATCTTTTTGTTTTAAACTTTAAAAGTACCACTCATCTCTAAGTTCAGTTGCTCTTAGGTGCTTGCCCACAAGATAATCAGCACTCCTTTGTGTGCCTTGAAAATTTCCATAGTTGTTTTCATCACATTACAAAGTATGGTAATGATGCAACTACTTAAGGGTCTTATTTTTGTAACATTGGTGATACCTGTTAGCACATAAACTGCAGTATATTTTAATATGCTGAACGACAAAAATGAGAGAATGTCCTTTATATTACAGAAACTTCTGCCTATAATTTTATATATATGTTAAAAATTAGTAAAATGTAGTGTTTCATATTGGTTTTATATATAAACAAACCAGTGTTTAAAAACGTTTATTTCCTTCCACACCCCAATGAATCATTTTGCCTGTTCTTTGGGATGTAGGACCCACTATGGGGAACACCAGTGTAGAAAACTTGGATGTAAAAGATCAGTTAGGAGGCTGTTGTGATGATAGCTTTGATGGTAATGAGGATGGGAGGAAGTAGGCAAATGTGAGAGATATTTAGACCATAAAACCAATCAGTGCTGGTGATGGATTGAATGTAAGAATTTAAGAAAAAGCCTGGCCAGCATGGTACGGTGGTTGAGCATCGACCTATAAACCGGGAGACCACGGTTCAATTCCTGGTTAGGGCAAAGGCCCAGGTTGTGGGCTTGATCCCCAGTGTGGGGCATGCAAGAGGCAGCCAATCAGTGATTCTCTCTCATCATTGATGTTTCTATCTCTCTCCCTCTCCCTTCCTCTCTGAAATCAATAAAAATATATTTTTAAAAAAAGAATTAAGGAAAAGGAAGTCAAAAGCTGAATCCCAAGTGTCTGACTAGAGTAAGTATTTGGTTGATGGTAATAACTATGAACAGAGTTTGTGAACACCGAAGTAGGAAGAGGAAAGGGGAGATCGGAACATAGAAGGGATACAAATTTGGGAGCATGTGTATGAAATAGCTCAGGGAATATATACAGGGTCGGGCAAAAGTAGGTTTATAATTGTTCATATGAAAAATAATACAATAATCCTATATAATAAAAGGCTAATGTGCAAATTGTCCCCTCAACTGGGAGTTTGGCCAGGGAGTGGGGCCGGCCTGCCAACTGCCCGCAGCCCCTCCCCCTGGCCTGCCCTGCCCCCGATTGGCCCCCCTCACCCTGATCAGGGGCTGGCCGACCAGCCAACCTCCCTTGTGCCCTCCCCCCATCCAGCCTGACCCGATGGGCCCCCATCAGGGCGGGCCAGCCAGACCCCACCCGTGCATGAATTCGTGCACTGGGCCTCTAGTTAATAAATAATAATACAATAATAAACTGTGTTTCATGTACTCACAATTGTGAACCTACTTTTGCCCCACCCTGTATAATAAGGGAAAAGAAAACTTCTTTAAATGTATTTGTAAATACTACACAGACATTAAAAATTGTTTTGTTTTGTCTTTTTAATTAGGAGTATATGGTGATGTACATCGAGTGAAGATTATGTTTAATAAGAAAGAAAATGCTTTGGTTCAGATGGCAGATGCAAATCAAGCTCAGCTAGGTACTGATGATTAATAGTAGTAACAGTGGTGACCTCCCCCTTTTTATGTGAATTTTTCTATAAAATGAGCAAACTTACAGCTAGTAGAAATATACTTTACCAAAGAGTATTTCTTTGTGGTAGTATCTTCATTATTTGTATCTGCTTATGTTTTATAAAGATTGAAAATATTTATTACTCTTTGAAGTTCATTTTCTACTTGTTGCTATTTAGAACTTTGACTCTAGGGTTTTTCTCTAAGTTTAAACTATTAAACATCACTTGCTTTGTTTAATTTTATTATATTTTATTATTTATTTGTTTTTGTTCCAAATTAAGTTTTCTAGAACTGTTGCATGGCATAAAAGTTTGGGCAAATTTCATAATGATGGCACACGACAGTGTTATTCTATGGCCTCTCTGTTCAGTGTTACAGTGGCTATTTAAAATGTTACTACTTGGAACTTTTGTAAAAAATACTTTGCTTGAGATTAAACTAATTTATTCAGTAACCGTTTCCTGAACACTTGTTATGTTCCAGGCACTCTGGAACTTCCTAGGAAGAGAGTTGTTTTTTGTTTGACTGCTTTTCTTTTGTTATTGTAAAATAAATTATCTAACACATTTCTATATATAAGAGTTTTAAAGTTTAAAACCATTTTAACCCACAAACTGACAATATAATTTTAAATGACTAAATAAAAAGATTTTATGATAATTTAGACAAATTTTATAGAGGCTCTATCTTAATACCCAAACTTACCTTATTTTCTTCCTATGCATCAGCAATGAACCATCTGAATGGTCAGAGACTTTATGGAAAAGTGCTCCGTGCTACACTGTCCAAACATCAGGCCGTTCAGCTTCCTCGAGAGGGACAAGAAGACCAAGGTCTGACTAAGGATTTTAGTAATAGTCCTTTGCATCGCTTTAAAAAGCCTGGCTCTAAAAACTTCCAGAATATTTTTCCACCGTCAGCCACTCTGCATCTTTCCAACATCCCGTATGTACCTAATTACTTATTATCCTTCTGTTGGTTAATAATTAACAATTATTATTATAAACAATATGTTTTAGGGGAGGTAAAAACTCTGAAATTAGCCCTAGCTGGTTTGGCTCAGTAGATAGAGCGCCGGCCTGGTGACTGAAGGGTACCAGGTTCAGTTCCAGTCAAGGGCACATGCCCAGGTTGCGAACTCAGTCCCCAGTGCGGGGTGTGCAGGAGGCAGCTGATCAATGATTCTCTCATCATTGATGTTTCTCTCTCTCTCTCTCTCTCTCTCTCTCTCTCTCCCTCCCTCCCTCCCTCCTGCTCTCTCTCTCTTCCCCTTCCTCTCTGAAATCAATAAAAATATATTAAAAAAACAACAACAACTCATTATTCTAATGCAGCAATTGCCCCACTGACGAATTTCTTGTGAGAGGATTAATTTATTATTATGTCTTAATAAGGTTATATCTTCAGTTGTACACTGCAAAAGTAAGGATAGCAGTATTTTTAAAAAATTTTTTACAAGTAGAAAATTAGCAACTAGTTACCTTTCAGTTATAAAAGGGCATAAAAATAAGTTTATGCAGAAATATTCCATTGGCACATTGGTTCATTCCTTTGCATAGATATAAAGACTTAAGTAACCAACATAGCAAAGTCAAATAATTTATGGTTTTTTGTTTTTTTTAAATCCTTTCATGGGTATGTTTAGAGACAGAGACAGACAGACAGACAGAAAGTCAGAGAGACATTGATCAGTTGCTCTCGTACGTGTACCGAGGGGTTAGAACTTCTGCAAAAGTTAGGTATGTGCCTTGACTGGGAATTGAATCCCAACCAACTGAACCTCCCAACCAGGGCAAATAATTTATGTATTTAAGAATTTGAAGAATTTTTAATTTTTTTATCTATAAGCTGCAAAGCCATATATAATGATTAATTTTAACTAATATGTTAATTATTCTTTTTGTGTGTGATCACTCTATTAACTGGTGTTGTAGCAGACTTGTTCTTTTTTTAAAAATATGTATATATTTTTATTGATTTCAGAGTGGAAGGGAGAGGGAGAGAGAGATAGAAACATCAATGATGAGAGAGAATCATTGATCGGCTGCCTCCTGCATGCCCCCTAGTGGGGATCGACCTGCAACCCAGGCATGTGTCCCTGACCAGAATCAAACCTGAACACTTCAGTCCACAGGCCAACACTCTATCCACTAAGCCAAACCAGCTAAAGCCAGACTTGTTCTTTAGTTGTCTTCTAAGTCTGGGATTAATAGACTACCCATGGTCCAAAACCATCTGTTTTGGTATGGCCCATGAGCTAAGACTGACTTTTATATTTTCAAATTGGGGGTGGGGTGGGGAGGAGGGGCAAAAGGGAAATAATTTGTGATTTGAGAAAATTATATAAAATTTAAATTTCACATTGCATAAATAACGTTTCATGGAGCACAACCACACTTGCTCATTTATATACAATCTATGGCTGCTTTTGAGCTATAACATCAGAGGTGGAGTGTTGCAACAGAGACTGTATGGCCATCAAAACCTAAGGTATTTACTGTGTGGCCCTGTATAGAAAACATCTGAGCCCGGCCTTGGTGGCTCAGTGGTTGAGCATTGACCTATGAACCAGGAGATGATGGTTTGATTCCTGGTCAGGGCACATGTCCGGGTTGCCAACTCGATCTCCAGTGTGGGGGACGTGCAGGAGGCAGCCAGCCAATCAATGATTCTCTCTCATCATTGATGTTTCTATCTCTCCCTCTCCCTTGTGCTCTGAAATCATATCCTGGTTTAAAAAACAACAAAAAACCCTGTTTTATTTGTTTGTTTTAATGGTAGCAACTCCTGTTCTAATTCTTGAATTCCTTGGCCAACAAAGATGGCAGTTTTGTATAATTTAATCAAATACATGAAGGGGATAAGCTTTGGAAAGAGGGAGGTAAAAGCTGTGGGAAGTGGTTGTATGTGTGCATGTGTGTGCAAATTTAAAGACTCAGGGAATGAAGAATGGTGAGATTTTGGATTGTTACTAAAAATGAGAAAAGGAGATGAATAAGAATAGAAAATAATTACTCAAAATAGTATTGAATACTCAGGCTCCAAGCTAGTCTCCAGTTAGCCTAGTTAGAGAAACCTTGAATCTGAATTGGGCAGGACTCTAACCTCAGGCCCGCTTGGAAGCTAGAGGAGCCACTTAAGAAAAAAACAAACTAGATTTGTGGATCTAGAAATTTAGCAGCTCATCACTGTAAAGTCTGTAGAGTGGCAACATATTTAGATACTGAGGCAGGCTCCTGTCGTTACCTTTCCCGTTACCTTCAAGCTGGTCTCAAGTAACTGCTGTAATAAAAGTTATGTGACTGCCGTCTCTCTTACTAAGTCAAGAACTTTCACCTTTTCCCTTAAAAGAAGCATTTTATGGCTTCTCTTTGGCATATCTGAATTGCCAGCATCACTGCTTTTGCACTTTGGCGCCATTAATAAGTAAAACAAGGGTGACTTGAACACAAGCACTGGAATACTGTGATCGGGGGTACTAGTGACTAACAGGCATGTACCGTATACTGTTTGGAAACACTGGACAAAGGGACGATTCATGTTTAGGCACAGTGGAGCACGATGGCAGATTTCATCACACCACTCAGAATGGCACCCAATTTAAAACTTCTGAATTGTTTATTTCTGGAATTTTCCATTTAATGTTTTTAAACTGCTGGTAGCTGAAACTGTAGAAAGTGAAACTGGGGGGTGGGGGGGGCTACTGTATTCTACTTTTTGTCTCTATCAATTTATCCGTAATAACCTTTGAGATAAGGTCATGAGTTTCATTTTATCAATGAAACTGAGAGGCTCGGGTTAAGTAACTTACTTCAAGTGACGTACCAAGTGAATGAGAAATAGAATGGGAAGACAGACCTGTCTCCCTGCAGAGCCAGCTGTTTTTCTGCAATACCGGCCTTGCTGGCAGTTGTGAAGTGAGTCTACTTTTAGTCAGTTGACTCTGGAGCGATAGGCCACTCACTGTATTAGTCATCTGCTTCATAACAGATCACCCCAAAACGGAATACAGTAATTAACGTTCATTATCTCATACTGTAGCTGTGAGTCAAGAATCCAGAAGTTGCTTAGCTGGATTGTTTTGGCTGAGAGTCTATCATAAGGTTGCATCTGAAGATTTAACTGGGCTAGAGGACTGACTTCCAAAGTGGCTCATTCATGTGCCTAGTTATTGACAGGAGACCCTCAGTTCTTGTCACAAGGACCTCTCCATGTGGCGGCTGTAGTGTCCTCATGAAATAGCTGGTTTCCTCCAAAGCTAATGATTCAACAGAAGGTGAGATGGGAACTGCAGTTACATGTGTAATTTCTATTGTACCTTTAAAGATTACAGAGGGCATCCCTATTCAGTGTGGCAAGGGTATATTTGAGGGCGTGAATTCCAGGAAGCGAGAGTAATTGGGGGCCATCCTGGAGCCTGGTTATTAACACATATTCATAATTATCCTGAAAGCAGTTTAAAATGTAGAACGCTGGCCAGCTGGAGTGACTCGGTTGAGTGTTGTCTGGTGCACTGAAAGGTTGCCAGTTCCATTTCCAGTCAGGGCACCTCTGGGGTGCAGGTGTGGATCAATGGGCAACCAAAAAGGAAGACGAGCAGAGATCTCTCCGCGTCTCAGAAGAGGCGAGTAGGAGCTCTTCGCAAGCACGGACCGTGAGATCGTCTCGTCGCTCTCTTTCTTTTCGCACTTCTCTTTTCTCTCTCTCTCTCTCGCTGCGGAGATGAGTCCTCTCTCGCCATCTCCCTCCAACTGATTCTCCCTTCTCTCTCTTCTCTCCTCTCTCCCTTTTCTCCTTTCTCGTCCCTCTCTCTCTCTCTCTCTCTTCCTCTCCCTCCCTCTCTCTCTTCTCTCTTCTCTCTCTCTTCTCTCTCCCTTTTCTCCTTTCTCTTTCTCTCTCTCTCTCTCTCTCTCTCTCTCTCTCTCTCTCTCTCTCTGTCTCTTTCCCTCTCCTCCCCCCCCCCCCCCCAAGCATGTCCTTGGGTGTGAATTAAAAAAAACAAAACTAAAGTGCAGAACTCTGGACTACAGTGGACTACAGTCGATAAGTTAGAACTAGCTTTGGAAGTACTAGAGTTAATTACTGAAGTCTGTGATATGAGTACTAATTCCTTTGAAAGAATAAATACAGGGGTGGGCAAAAGTAGGTTTATAGTTGTAATACAAATAAATAGTACAATAGTTCATAAATAATAAAACAAGAATAAACTTTCTATCCCTTTGCACGCCATAAGCGTCTGTAGACACAAGGATGGTTTCCATTTTGAATGCGTGGCAGTTAACTGGCTAGTACTCACAACTGTAAACCTACGTTTGCCCATCCCTGTATAGAAAGATATTCTTGGTATTCATGTACCTGTCCACATTGTTTGCAAAAGACTTAAGACAAAATTCTGTTTTTTGAGGACATGTATGTGGTATGTGTCAACCTCGAACATCTTCAGGGACAGTTCCAAATCATGTCTTCATTGCATGGCTTTAGTTAGTCTCTATGAAATGTGAGGTACTCTGGAGATTTAACAATTGCAAGTTAATCTGCTTCATTTGAGAATTAGGGCGCTAAGATACTTGGTTGACTCTGATGTTTTCACAGACCTTCTGTTACGATGGATGACCTGAAGAACCTTTTCACAGAAGCTGGGTGTTCAGTGAAGGCTTTTAAATTCTTTCAGTAAGTCCTTGCTTTTAAGAAACACATTAACTTTATTTAATATGGTATGCAAATTTTAGGGTCATTTCAAGAAGTCTTCTAGGGTGGGGGAGAGAAGGTTTATAGACAAAATTAATTCTATACCCTTTTTAAATTTCTTATCCCATTTTTAGGAAAGATCGCAAAATGGCCCTTATTCAGTTGGGATCTGTGGAAGAAGCGATCCAGGCCCTCATTGAGCTTCATAACCATGACCTTGGAGAAAATCACCACCTCAGAGTTTCCTTCTCAAAATCTACAATCTGACTTTCTGTGAATTTTTCTTCTAAGACTGGACCATAATAGCAGTAAAATGTTCAGACATAGACTGAAGCAATTCAAGACCAATTCTGCCTCTTTTACAAAAATGATTTTTTTCTGAGTTTGCTGTTTAAGTATATTCAAAAAATTAAGGAATGTTTTCCCCCCTGCCAATATGTGCTCAAAGGGGTGTTTTTCTTTTATATCTTAATTTCTATGAAAATAATCTTCAGGAAAAAAATTTTTTTTCAGTAATTCACTTCCCCATATTAAATTGGATTTCAAAAGGACAGACTCTTTTAGTTTGGGACCAGATCAGCCTTATACATTTCTAAACTCCTTTGTACTTTAAAAAATTAAATATAACAACTTTTAAAATTACTTGATATAAGTAATTTCAATTTCTTACAACCAAGTTTTTAACTTTATGCTTCAGAATTTGTTCATGTATAAATTACATCAATTATTTGGCATATATTGATGGTTATACATAAACAAATTGGTTTGTGTTGGAAGCAGATTTATAAACTTCATGTTCTCTTTCAGTTTTTTTTTTTCCCACTGGTAAGACACTCCTATGAATATTGCATATCTTTAATTTTTTAAAAGTATTTGGAGAAATGAAGCATCTCAGCTGTCCCAAGGAAATTAAGTGGAATCCAACCAGGATCAATTAAGGTGTCAGAAAAATCAGTAACTTTCTTTGGAAAAATCATGTTTTAAATTTCAAAATGATACATTTGCTGAGTAATATAATATGATCTTAGAAAACTAAAAAACAATTCTACTTATAAACTACTTTTTTATAATTGTTTTCAGAAAAAAGTTTACAGTCTTAAGGAAAATATTCAGGTCTATCATGGTTTGACAGATTTTTAAAAGTTATTTTTGGTAAGGTCTTCTTTTAGAAAAAAATTAAATCTCAAGGGTTTTTTGTACCACTATAATCTGTAATACTTATTCAGAATTACTGTGTATTTACTTAATTTCTAATTATGTGCCTTATTATGTGCTTATGATACAATAGGTTAGAGTTTTATCTAAGTATCTTGAAAGCTATATTGTGGGCTTGGTGAGTGTTTCCCTTTTCTTTCCCTGTTTTGGTAAGGATTTTAAAGGATTTTTCATTGCTATTTTAAGTAGTTTTCAATAAGTGATCATTTTTATCCAAATTTATGGTGCTTTGGTGCAGAGATGGGGTGGGGAAGGATAAATGGTTTAGACAATAATTCACTGTACACCTGTAGGCCTCTTCACATTTGACCAATAGCAGTCATTGCCGTTATGGCATACTGATTTGGAGCTATGAAATGCAATCTCAGTTTCTGGATCTTGTCAAATCTTTATCATTCATCAGATTTTGTCTCAGGATTACTTGATTTTTCTCAGTACTCAAGCAGAACTTGCTTTTCTTTGTTAATGTAGCTTCATTACTGAGTGCCCACATATGTGGAGTATGGCAGAATGGGTTCCTTCTCATTCTCGGTCCCATTCCCTTTTTTGGTTGAATGTAAGAGTGCATTTTAATGTGGCTTCAGTGATTGTATAATGTAAAATTGTTTCTTTTTAATGAGAAACTTAGCTTTTGTTAATTTCTCCTTCAATGCTTGATCAGATTTTTTAAAAGCGGGATTTGTCAAAAGGGACATTTTTGTCCACCACTTTTACACTTCTCAGATTCTCAGAGTGGCTCATCTCACCTTTAAGAGGAATATCTCAATCTCTTTGCTATATTCCAGCCATTTATTTGAACACAGGAAGGGTTCTACAAAAGAAGTTTTACAAAAAATTGGAGACAGAGGAGATATTATAGGTTGTTAAAAAGCAGAATTCACTCAACACTGAGCAATAGAAGGTAGGTAGAATTGGAAGGAGACTACTAAATTGAGACCTTTTGGGTGCATCAATTTAGCATTGGCTGAATAGATAGGTATAATCACTTATCAGATTTTTTATTTTTTTCACTTACGAGATATATTTTTAGCTAAACACTGAGTAAAGGGGAAGGGGAAAATGTCTTTGAGACAGCTCCCAAAATTTACTTCCTTTTTCCCTCCATACAGGCACTATTAAAGTTTTTAGTGACAGGTTAAATTGGATTCTTTCATTTGCTTTGAGTTACGAATTTCTGTGTAGTTTAAAGTCATGATTCTCATAATCAGCGTGTAAGTGTAGCAAAAGTGTAGCAGAAGGGAGATCATAAGGGTGTTGAATGTAATTTTGAAATAGAGCATGGCCTTTAAATCTGAGAGAACGTTTGAATCCTTTTCAGGGATTTGTGATGTGTGTTTATATAAGTGTGTGTATATATATATATGTATATATATGTATATACACACACACACGCACATACACTCTTCTGATGTTGTACATACATATACACATTACATACCTTTTAATTTATTGACAAAGAAAATCAAATTAAGATTTGGAAAAGTGAGATATTCTTATTTAAAGTAGTGTGTTTGAAACCATCAATTTGTGTCTAAAATTAGCTGTAGCACATGGATGTTATCTATACTGGGCTATTTGCTGTTTGACTTCTAGAAGTCTACAGTGTTTGTGTTGGCATAGTTTATGTAAAAAGATTTTAAAATATCAGGGTAGTGGAAAAATTAGATCTTTGTATTTTTGTTTTTGGCATGCATGTATTAGATATCTTCTAAGTCATGTTTTCACTGTTCAGCTGACATAGTATTCTATTTTTAAGCTTATTTACTTTATTTTAAGGAGTATGTCTTATCACTTTTGGAAGTGTCTTCACTTTTACACAAAGTATATATATTCAGGACTTTTAAAAAAATAGCAGTACATGTTTAACAAGTAGCAATTTATGCCAAAAAGTTTTTCTTTGAGATTTAAGTAAGTTGCAGAGCAGTAAAATGTGTTTTGTGTGAAATACAAATAGAAAAATGACCCAGTAACTAAATTGTTAACTTATCAATTAAGAATATCAGCATTTTACCCAATAGCTCCTACAGAATGCCATAAATCCTTTAAGACTAAATATTGTAATCTTTTATTTGTAGTAATAATATTTCTGATTTTTTTTTTTTTTGTCAAAAGACGCAGATATCATCATTTTTAGAGACGTATTTCTTTCTGCTTGCCTAATTCCTTATGGGAGCAGGGCAGTGCCTACAATAGTAATCTAGGTTCTGCCTCAGTTGTTAGAAGTAATGCTAATGAATGTCTCTGTTCGGTTTCATGTAAACATTTCAAAGCTTCCCTGTCCTTTGGCAGCAAAGTTTATATATACACTAGAGGCCTGGTGCACAAATTTGTGCACCAGTGGGGTCCCTCGGCCTGGCATGAGGGATCAGGTGAAACCGGCTCTCTGACATACCCTGAGGGGTCCCAGATTGCGAGAGGGCGCAGCCAGGCCGAGGGACTCCACTGGTGCATGATCGGGGCCGGGGAGGACTCCAGGGCATGTCTGGCCCGTCTCACTCAGTCCCAATCGGCTGGACCCCAGCAGCAAGCTAACCTACCAGTAGGAGCATCTGCCCCCTGGTGGTCAGTGCACATAATAGCGACTGGTTGATCAGTCTACTGTCTGCCCCCTGGTGGTCAGTGCACATCATAGAGAGTGGTTGAGCAACCTTAGCATATCATTAGCATATTACTCTTTGATTGGTTGAACAGATAACCAGACACTTAGCATATTAGGCTTTTATTATATAGGATTAAGTAAATTATCATGTAATTTCTGTTCCCACTAAATATTTTTGGACAAAAGATAACAAGCTCAAAAGTATGTGCCCTCCACCCCCAATGAGTCACTTACAAAACCTGAAGTTTGCCAAACTATTAGCCTATCTCTTAGAAAACTTAATGTGTACTGCTATTTTTAAAACCAAAAAGACAGCATGACTATGCGTAAAAGCATTTTTTCTTAGCCTTTCCTTTGTCTTGATCTGTTGTTATCAAGAATACTGCCAGACTTAAAATATTCTACTATTGTCCTCAAAGAAATACAGTTTAGATTGCACAAAACTTTTCCTTTAAAGACAATATAACTCAGCTGTCTTTTAAAAGAGCTGTGTTGTTATCTAACTATTTGCAGTCTTTTTTCAGAGCAAATTCTAACAGTTAGTTGTGAATTGTTTAAAAAAATAGAAAATAACTAAAATATTAGTTTTAGGGGTTTTATAGAGGGAGAAAAACTAAACGGGACCAAAGTTTATGTGCCTTCTTCAGTAGTCTTAATTGACCTTTTCTTCCTATTCAAGACTAAGGTAGTATCAGTATTGTGGTTTTCAGGAAGGATGTACTATGTAATTTTAAAAGAATGTTATCCCGCAGACTATTCATACAAGGGAAGAATTGTAACTGTAAATGCAGCGTCAGTTACACTTTTGCCTTTGTTGCATAATATTTATTATATTGCATTGTGCAGGTTCAGGAACAGAACTGCTCGCTTTCGATCTTTGTGGTAGTCATCTTAGTTTCTGTAACCTGAGGCATGTGTTCCAGAGAACAGGGATATTTGTCTGGTCCAGTGACCTTGGTGATACTAGTCACAACTGAAAGATGCTTATGGCAAGCTCGATTCAGCACTGTAAACAGATTTTTGTTCTTGTATTATTTTCAATTTTTGAATCTATGTAGTAGTTGTAATAACAGATATTTAAATAGCTATTTTTGATGTCAGACTCTGGCCTTTTCCCCCATTTCCATTGTTACCCAGGTATTTGAAAAATTCATCCCACATCCAGAAAGTACTAATTGTAAAGATCGCTGACCAAGCAAAGTTTTGCATCAAAATGTCACCTCATTGCTCTGACCAAAGACTGACTTCTGGTTGTAACTCCTTTCTATTAAGCATTTTTTCCCAAGCTCCCTTCTGAAAGAAGACCCAGCGCAGAGCGGCCTTTACTTTCTATTTCCTGTTGGTGAATAGACTACTTGATATTACTTAGAGAAAATGGGAGTTTAAATGTGAGCAGAGTGGGTTAGGATGACAAGGGTTGGATGGGCATTTTCAGTACTGTACTTAAGAAAAAAAAAAAATAGCACAGCTAAGGAGCCTATGACATTGTCTCGTGTTTTGCGTGGTCTGTTCATAAGATTCCCTTTTTCAGTTTATAAGAATGTTCATCTAACAGAAGAAGATGCTGTAAATATTTGTAACAACATTTTTTTTAACCAGGCCAAAAAAGAAAAAAAAGGGGGGTTTGGGGAACAAGTTAACATATAAAGTGGTTTTATATAAAACATCGATTATCTTGTATATTTTGATAAGCAGCAGTACCAGCTTCATTTGTAACACAGTTTGTGGCATTGGGAAAAAAGGATTCTGTTATTGTTGATGTGAACTATGTTATAAATGCACAGAGATGATAAAATATTAAAAAAACATATTTTCTAAATGCGTCGTGCATGGTTAATTCAAGCTTCTGTACACTACAGTGTATTCCATTCTCGTTCAGTTTGTATGTTTGCCAACTATTACTTGATATCTCTAATCTCTTTTCCTAACAAGTATAGCATTGTAGCATGCCTTTTAATAAATGTCATGACATCTGTACGCTCTTAAAATTTTTTCTGTGTTCTTGTCTGTACTTTGGGTTTCCCCTTGTCTTACCTGTAATTCTAATGATGTTATATTCTTTAAAAATTTTCATAGCCATACATCTAAACTTGTCATATTTAGAGAATAGCGAGCACATATCTATATAACTTCAAAAACTGAAAAACCTTAAGTCTGCTAACCACCTTTTAGAATTAAAGAACAATGCCCTAGTGGGTTTGGCTCAGTGGATAGAGAGTTGGCCTGCAGACCAAAGGGTCCGAGGTTCAATTCCGGTCAAGGGCATGTACCTCGGTTACAGGCTCCTTCCGGGCCCAGGCCCTGGTCAGGGCTTGTGCAGGAGGCAACCAATCAATGTGTTTCTCTTACATTGATGTTTCTCTCTGTCTTTCCCTCTCTCTTCCACTCTCTCTAAAAAAAAGGCAATGGAAAAATATCCCCGGGTGAGGATAAAAAATAAAATTAAGGAACAATTCTCATTTGCGGAGCAAACTGCTTTTCTAATTGTCCTGTAATGCAACTTTCTGTATGGCACCCCCACCCCCACCCCTTTAGTAAAGTGCACGTTGGCACACTTGCATGAGTTCACTCCATCTCTCTTCACCTCTCTCCCTCTCTCTCTCCCTCTCTCTCTCTCTCTCTCTCTCTCTCTCTCTCTCTCTCTCTCACACACACACACACACACACTTGTTATATGTGCAATGCCAAACAAGAGTTGGAACACTTTTTCTAGTCTAGTTCAGTTTTGGGCTCTCCTAAGGGATTAGTGTCCATAAATTTTGAGACAAGAGGTGTGATCTCAAACCATGTTTGTGTCCTTTTTAATTAAAGAGTAATACAGTTATCAGCTGCCTACATACTGCTTGTCCGTAGATAAATGTTTTGTGTCTGGGTTCTCTTAAAGAAATATTGGATTGTAGGAGTCTCGGATCTTTGGAAGAAAATTTATTTTTAATGGATTGGAAAATTAGGTAAACCTTGATCTTTGCTGGCTCACCTGTAAGCTCTATTATCTCCATAAATGTAACTAGATCAAAAATTTTTTTTTAAAGCATAAGAGACATTTTTGTCAGGAAAAGATAAAGTAACCCTATGGCCAAGGGAGGTTTTACAAACTTGACCATGAATGCTTATTTACACATCACATTGCTTATAACCATGACCAAGAATCATGCATTTTTTAGGATAAATGGATCTAAGCTCGCCTAGTTCAGTTCACACTTTTACAGGTAAGTGGCACAGAGAAGGAGGCGACTTGCCCAAGGCCACGTGCCAGTTCGTTGCGGAGTCCGGACTAGAAACCAGATCTCCTTGAGATTACCCACTACACTCCATCACACCCAGGGATTGTGCTGTGAGGGTTACGACCTTGAAGGTCTGTACATGGAATTGGGATGTTTATACTACCATACCCAGTCGAAAGACTGCACAAGTGGTGGTGGTGTTTCTGCTGAAGGGTAAAAATGCCTACCTACTTCTGAACATTTTAAATGAAAAATGTAACTTCAAGTTGTAAATCTGAGAAAACTAACTTTAAAAAATGTAGTTACTATTTGTCTGAGTTTGCTAGGGCTGACGTAACAAAGTATTCCAGACGAGGCAGTTGAAATAACCAGAATTTATTTTCTTAACAGTTCTAGAAATTAGAAGTTAAAGTCAGGTGCCAGCAAGGCTGGTTCCTTCTGAGGCCTCTTTCCTTGGCTTAGAGATGGCCCTCCTGTCCCCGTGCCTTCACATGGCCTTTTCTTCTCTTTGTGCCTGTGCCCTAATAAGATACACCAGTCATATTGGATTAGGGCCCACCCATCTGACCTCATCTTATCGTAATTACCTCTTTAAAGACGCTATCCCCAAATATAGTCATATTCTGAGATACTGGAGTTTCGGACTTCAATAATTTTGGGGGGGGGGGGAGGGGGGAAGACACGATTTACCCCATAACACTAATAAAAATTACTCATTCAGCTCCCCTCGTACTGATTGTACCAGCAATTGAGCTAGGTGCTGGGCAAGATATAAAGAGTTAAGAATATGTTGACTTACCTCCTAGAATTATGCTATACAGTGGAAATGTCAACCTAAATCCATAAATCAAATAGTCTTGAACTCTTGCCTTTGATAGGAAGCCCCCAAAATGTATCATGAGGTCTCTAGGCAATTTGAGTCAGAATATACTAGTATATGGTTAGTGCTAACATATAGCTAATTAATGTAGGAATATACACTGTTCAATAATTTTCTACTCCACTCTTAGAAATAAGCTATTTCAGCAATGATCACTTCTAAGACATATTCTGTAACTTGAACAGTGCAGGAATCATCAAGAAGGCACCATCAAACAAGCTGTGCCCAATTTTTAATGCTCAACATTTGTTAAGTGAACTGTGGTGCTGGCTCAGGAATATTTAAGTGTTAAATCCCGTGTGCTTACAATTTGCATGGTTGTTCCTACATCAATGATTTTTTTTCTGTTGTCCTATTTCAACTTCTAATGAAAAGTTGTCACTGTGTGTTTCTATCCAAACAATTTATGCTGAGCTGATGGGAATCTAATAACAATTTTGTTGGAATCACTGCATTCATAAACTATTGGGTTTGGATGTAGATCTTCCAATTTTGCTAGAATAAAGA